GCCCCAGCCCGAGAACCGTAACTTCTGTCTCTGTCGTTTTATTTTGCACACACACACTAATTGGAAAGTCTCTTTTCCTCCTGGAAGAGGCAGCATCCTGTGTGTGTCCCTGTAAGCACGGGGCACCTCGGAATATTAGGCTATCGGGAAGGGAGGACCGTCCCCCCCCCCACCAGCACCACCGGGAGTGAGCTCTGAGCACTACTGTGTGCTCACCACACCCAAACCAACGACAAGCAGACCAAGAGACAGTGGCGCTTAGATGGAGTTTAACAACTCACACTTCAACTACTTTTCATTTTTCAATATGAAAATAATTACATCCACAACTCCTCGAACATGTTCGAGTTGTTCACTGGAAAGTTACTTTTCATTTCTGAAAGAATGTTGGTGCCAGTGAGTCAGAGTGACCGTACAGCAGGTGGGGCACCGCAGATGCTCTCTCAAGCATGCAGGAGTAACCCCTGAGCATCAGTGGTGTAGCCCTCCAGCCCCCAAAGCCAGTGGCAAAGTGCTGGGTACCCAGGAACGCCTCCTCCCATCTCTCCATCCTACTCTGAGAACCACAAACCCTTTCAGAAGCTTCCAGAGAGGCTGAGGAGCCGGACTCACCGTTCCTTCAGAAGACAACTCTGCATGAACCCATTGGCCTTGGAAGACCCCCGCACAGGTACCAACGGCGGGTGACCACTAAGACCATTGGGTTAATGATGGGTTCACGGGGAAGTTGGGCTTTCAAGCACCGTCACGGGCCCAGCTAAAATGACAACCTGCTCATTCCATACCTCAGACCTTGCCAGGTCCACGCCTGCTTCTTTGCTGCTTGACTGTCATTCCTAACACTGACCCTGATTTTCTTTTCTCCTTTGGAGGGCTTGAGGGGGCAGGAGTGTGATTTTTTTGGACCAGGCATGTTGCCAGTGATGGAGCCGCATTAGCGAGCCTCGCTACCGTCTCTCTCTCTGACCTGGCTCATGGCACCTGGGCAGGGGCAGCGAGTCAGCCAGCCCCTGGCCGTGCCCATGACAGCAGCACCTTCATCCATCCACAGATCCTGACTTCCTGGGGATCAGAGTTTTCTCAGCACTTTTCTTTCAGAAACTAGATTCTGCCAAGTGGAAAATGAAGGACCACACCCTAACCTGCAGAATGAAAAACGCAAAAGCGTCTTGTTACGTCTGGCCTGTCTGGGCATCCATGAACTGAACTCGGTATTCACAAGCATACTCTGCCTCGGCCAAGCCCCCTCCCTCCCAACCCCCGTTTCTCAATGTGGATACTACCACGCCCACAGGGAGAGCGTCTTCCACAGCACGGCTCATGTGCAGAACGGCCCTATCCACCTCCTGTCTGCTTCCGTCTGTCTGGAAAGATCTGCAAACCATTTAACTGAGAGTGGACCCTCAGTGTCTGAAGGGAGATGTTAGCAGCCTCCCATCTGCCCTCTGGGTTGTCTAAAGCACCCTCATGAGCATAAACCAATGTTAGACACCCAAAGGTCCGGTCTCAATAGAATCCTTCAGTTGCTATTCCAAAGAAACAACTGCATTCCTGGGGGGAGCATGAATATACATTTTGGGGGACTGGAGAGATAACACAGTGGGTAGGGTGCTTGCACTCAGCCCACCTGGGTTTGGTCCCCAACATCCCATGGTCCCCTGAGTACCGCCAGGAGTGATGCCTGAGCATCACCAGGCGTGGCCCCCAAACAGAATGCCAATGGTGTCTGGATGGCCTGGTGACCCTTCACCAGATGTCCTACAGGAAGGCTCACTGAGGGCTGAGACTGGAAATTCCCTCCTCCTCTGAGGAGACGTCCTCATCTACTCAAAGGCGTTTTCTAAAGCATCCCTTTCTCAGTTACCCAAATTTGCATGGCTAGCCGCACCCACCCACACACCCAGCAGGGCTTGGTGCTTACTCCTGAATGCATCAGGGATCTCTCCTGGCAGTGCTTGGGGGCCATCTGGGGTGTCGTGGATCAAGCCCGGGTTGGCCATGTGAAAGGCAGCTGTCGTACCAGCTGTACTATCACCCTGGCCCCAAATTTGCAAAGGTTTTGACTGACCTAAAAATAGAAACTCTAAGACTGTCACGCATTTTTTTAAATGACTGGTACCTAGGCATGAAACATTGGACTTTAGTGACTCTTAAGAACTGACCTTCAAGAATCAGTTCATGTGAAATGGTGTTGAGATACCCACATGCTTCCAAAGATACGGATAAAGCCATATGGAAAACTGTCTAACTTAAAAAGCGACTATGTTTCTTTTACAGAGAACACTGACTTTTAGGAGGAAGCAAATACAAATACAGTATGTAAGAAGGACAACCAAATTCAGCACCTCTTATGCCCCGTACACTATCTCTTACATACATTAACTTTGCAACACACAATATTCAGATTCATCAAAAATTCATAAACCGGGGCTGGAGCAATAGCACTACGGGTAGGGCATTTGCCTTGCACGCAGCCGACCTGAGTTCGATTCCCAGCATCCCATATGTTCCCCTGAGTGCCGCCAGGAGTAATTCCTGAGTGCAGAGCCAGGAATAACCTCTGTGCAACGCTGGGTGTGATCCAAAAGGAAAAAGGAAAAAAAAAATCATAAAACTACAAGGAACTTCCCATCACCCCTTACACCATTCTCACTCTTGTCTTGAAAACCAAACCCAGGGCTGGAAAGATAGCGTAGTGGGGAAGGCGCTGGCCTTGCATGAGGCCAATCAGGGTTCAATCCCTGGTATCCCCCCATTTAATCCCCCAAACACTGTTAGGAGTGATTCCTGAGCACAGAGCCCAGGGTAAGCCCTGAGCATTGCTAGGTGTGGCCCAAAAACAAAACCAAAAAAAAAAAAAAAGAAAAACAATTAACCCCCCCCCCAAAAAAAAGAGAAATTATTTTGATGAAAAATGAAAAAAAAAATCAATCCACCAATCATCTTGTAACCTTATGGCCCACCAGTTAGAAAACCTTTTCCGACAAAGCCAGTCTCCTCTGCTGGGGTGACGGCCACACGCTGCGCAGTACTGGCAGGAAACGGCAGGACTGGGGGTGTGGCTCTCTGCCTTGCACGGCTGAGGTTCTGGGTCCAATTCTGTTTGCCACATGGTTCCCAAGCGCCGCCAGGACTGGGGGCGGCCCTAAACAGAACCCCCCGTGCTGCCTGCCGGGGCATCAAGATCTAGGTCTGGAGGATGCTCTGTGGAAGGATACACTAGACTTGTAAACTACCTCTCGGATAGTCTCTACAAGACTAATCTAGCCCTAGAATATGCCCCACGGGATGTGCTAGACTCATAAACTACCTCTCTAATACACTTAGAAGCTAACAGCTCATTTCTTGCTCCTCTCCTCCTGTGCACGTCAAGGAAATCACCTGGCGTATTTGTTGCGAAGATAAAACAAACAGGCAGAGCGCCTGGGGCTCGGGTCTGCAGAGGCCAGCGACGCCGTCTGTCTGCGTGCGACTTCTCTGAGGGTCCCTGGCAGAGCAGCTCTGGCTCTCGCACGAACCCTCGAGGTCAACAGCTGCTCACCGCGGTTGCTGCACTACAGGCTGTGCCCAGACGCCTGGTCTGGATGAGGCGGCGCCTCAGAATCGCTTCAGGTCACAGTTCCGAGAACACGGACCCTCATCCTGGGCCTCAGAACGCTCCTCCCTGAAGTAGCAGCTCCAGGGAGAACTTCCCTGGAAGTTCTGAGCAGGGTGTGGCTCATCACTTGGTGAGAAACCCTTTACTGAGGGAGCCCCTAACCACAGTGCTCTCCCCTCACAGGGTGCTCCTCCCGACAGTGCTCTCGCCTCAGAGTGCTGCAGACCAGGGAGGAACAGGCCTGAGGAGGGGCAGACGAGCACAGGGACCCTCGGCCTCCTCAGCGAGTAGCAGGGCTGCTCACCCACCTCCCCCTGTGCATTTCCACTGGGGTGCCGAGGGGAGGGGACAGGGACACATCAGCAGCCCCTGCGGGACATGGGCAGCAGGTGAGCGGGGGCAGCGGGGCCCTCGGAGGCAGGCCGGGTCTCGGGGAGTGCTGGGAGCAAGAACAGGGGTTCCCGGGCACCCCAGACGTCAGCCGGGTCTCGTGGGGGACACGGGGGTGCTGGCGGGCTGGTGTCTCAGTGCCGGCAGCCGTGCTGGGCGACACGGAGCGGCCACCTGCCCTCCTGAGGGCCCCAGGGCTGCGAGCCCTGCCTCTCGGGCGGGTGCTTTCCTTTCCCTCCCCCCAGTGTGGCCCCTGGGCCTGCATGCGCCTCACTCATGGGGACGGTCACTTAGGAAACGACCCTGTGCGTCCACACGGCATTGACATTTGTGGGCTGGTGTCCACGGCACCTGGTGTGGTCTCCCAAGGTCTCCACATCCACCAACAGGCAGCTCCCCGGGCACCCAGGGCGGGGCCTGTTCGCTGCCCAGCCACTGTTCACCGAGAGCACTGGACCCCAGGCGACGGTCAGTGGGGGGCTCTGGCCCACCCATGGCACGCTCAGCGCCACGTAGAGCCTGGGCTGGGGCTTGAACTGAGGGAGCGCAGCCCCTTCCCGGGTCCGGGACAGGCAGACGCAGCATCCTGCGGGAGCTGAGTGCACGTGCTCACACACATGTGTCTGGGGCCACACGCTCGGGTCCAGGGGTGCGGCTGCAGGGCCCGCCTACAACAGTGCTGGAGTCAGCCCGAGGATGGGAGGAGGCGTCCCCACTCTGCTAAGGGTCCCCGCATCCCGCAGGAGTGAGTCCCGGGTGCTGGCAGGCGTGGCCCTGCACCCCACCGAGAGAGCAAAGCGGCCCACTCTGAGTTTCCCGAAAAGCGCCTGTGGATACGCCGCTCACAATCTCACCTTCCTGGGGAGGCGAAGGTTCCCAGGAAGAGCCCAGGAGATGGGGCCGCGGGTCCCCCAGGGCAGGCTGTCCACAAGACCCGCCCCAAGCCGCCCTCCACCCCACGGGTACGATTTTATATTAAATACTGCAGACCTTACTCTTAATTCTGGAAAAAATATTTTTACTTTCCTCAAGTTGTTGGTCCTTAAATGAACAATATATTTTCTAAAGGAATACTCTGGTATTTTCCCCCTTTAAGATATTTCTCGGAGTTTTATTTGGCAAAGAGAAGTATAAGAACTTTAAAAAAAAAAAAAAAAAAAAACCAAACAAACATTTCCAGAGGGAACATCCTTTACCGTAAAATAAATTCGTGTGATTTGGAAGAAGACAAATCTCGATGTATATCTTTGACATATGCGCCAATCTTACAATACAAAAAGATAAAGTTTGTGGAAATATTTTAAAAATGTAAAAACCAGTCCAGGCCACGTCACTGTCGAATCCTCACCAAGCTGCCCGAGCCCCTCGGCGAGTGCCCGCGCGCCCTCACTGCCGGCCGCCCTTCCCGCTCTCGGCCGGCTCCGTTCTGGAAAACAGAGAAAGCAAGCCAGTAGATTAGAATATTCCCCACAGCCACAGTCCCCCTCTGTATCTCCCACAGGAGCCGAGAACCGAGTATCTTCAGGGCCAGAGAGCAGAGGACGAGAGAGGCAGCACCAGGCCCCCGTCTGGTCCAGGGCCCTGCCAGGGGTGACCCTTGGGCACACAGCCAGGGGTGAGTCCTAAGCTCGGGGTGACCAAACCACGGAAAACTCGGGGTGACCAAACCACGGAAAATACCGAAGCGGTTATTCTAACCTCCTTATTTGCATGGAGACAGACAAGAGTTATATCCCAGAGGGATGAAGTGACTTTCCCAAGATTTCAACAGTCACCGTTTACCTCAGTATGCCTCTTCAAGTAAGACTACCTTCACCTTTTAGCCAAGAATCTAGGGGGCCAGAGAGAGTCCAGCAGGCAGGGCACTGGCCTTGCACCTGGCCGCCCAGGGCTGATCCCTGCCACCCGAGGTGGTCCCCCAGGCCCTGCTAGGAGTGACCCCTGAGTGCCGAGCCAGGAGGAGCCCTGAATACCACCAGGTATGGACAAAAATTTCATTTACTTGTCCACTAAAATCTTTTCTTTACCAACGCATTTAAAAAAAATTTCTTCTGAAAAAAAAAATTAAAAAATTTTATTTTTAGGGGCTGGAGCAATAGCACAGTGGGGAGGGCATTTGCCTTGCACGCAGCCAACCCAGGTTCAATTCCCAACATCCCATATGATCCCCCGAGCACCGCCAGGAGTAATTCCTATGTGAAGAGCCAGCAGTAACCCCTGTGTATTGCCGGGTGTGACCCAAAAAGGAAAAAAAAAATTTATTCTTAGTTGAATCAGTGAGGTATACAGTGACCAAATTGTTCATGATTGTATTTCAGTCACAACCTGTTAGACCTAGACTTACTTGGTTAGAATCAGTATTCCTGACACTATTGTTAATAGGAAATGAGTTCACACCTTCCATCTGATAGATTCAGAACTACACATCACATTTTCTCTCCGATCCCCCCTCCCCCCCCCCCCCCCCCCCCCCACACTGTGCTGCTGACTGATGCTGAAGGAAAATATCTCAAAGAAGTGAAATCTTTCAGGGCTGCCAATCATATAACCAGAACTTTCACATGGAACAGACTACCAAGACTGAAAGAAGGTAGTTTTTATCTTTTTCTAAGTAAGATGAAAGTTCATAATGTTGCAATACTACTGCAATAAAAAGTATCAAACCAACCAGATTTGGTTTGATACTTTAAAACATTTTTAAAACTTACAATATAACAAGGCAGTAAACACGACCAAACCCTACCAAAAAAGAAAGAAAAAAATACAAACCCATTTTCCTCTTTCAGATGCTGATACAATTCGGCTCTGTTATTGACCGAGTTCAAGCGGCCAGCGAACTCCTGGTGCTTCCTGGAATTGGCGGTATTGATCCGGCTGCTCCACAAGGCCAGCAGGGACACGGGCCCTGGGGACACGGGAAAGGCAAGGGGAGAGGGACGTTACTCCCGCAACGCTCACTCATTTGCCCTGGTTCGTCCTGCCCAATTAGGGCGGGAATAACTTGGGGAACTGTGTGTGGGGGTCTGGGACCATCACCAGCGTCGTGATTTGCTGGAGGACTCGGAGGGCCGAAGGTGACGTTACCGTCAGGGGAAGAAGCACCGGAGCCCCGGGTGGGGCAGAAAGGGGAAGGACAGAGCCATGGACAAGCACGGCACGGGCACTCCCGGGAACAGTGCTCAGAGGGGAAGAAGGCCGGCTGCAGAGGCAGGCCAGGGGGGTGGGGTGGGGACCAGGGCCCAGAGGGACACAGAGACAGGATGGGGGGCGGGGAGAGGGGACCCGGGACCCAGCGGATACAGAGACAGGCTGAGTGGTGTGGGGGGGGACCGGGGCCCAGGGAGACTCAGAGACAGGCCTAGTGCTGGGGAGTGACCAGGGCCCAGGTGGACACAGAGGCAGGCCGGGGGCAGGGAGGAATCTGGGGACACTGATGGAGGGAAGCAGGCACTGGCCAAGGGATTGGTGCTGGAACACTGTGTGCCTGGAACTCCATCAGGAATAACTTTGCACATCACGGGGCCTCAATAAAAAATCAAAGAAACATAATGCCAAGAGCTGAGGCCCTTGCAGGTGGGCAGCTCCCTGCCCGGCCCCGGCGCCTGCAGAGCGCCCATCTCCCTCACCTTTGGATTTCTCTGCGGGCGGAGTCTCGTCCACCTCCAGGAGGGGCTTTTTGTTTGGAGGTTCTGGGGAGTCGGGAGAATCCTTTATGATCTCAGCTTCGGCCAACTCCTCCTTGCCGCGTTCCAGGATTCCCTTTAGCCTTTGAGAGGGAGACAGAGAGAGAGAGAGAGAGCACTTCAACTTTTAGAAAATCTACAAGGGTTCAAAATCAAATCAAACTTCTTAATGCCTGTCATGATGAAAGCTGTTCTCACAAACACAGGGACCACTCAAAAGCACAACCAGAATCTTCTTTTTTGCTTTTCTTTGGGTCACACCCGGTGATGCACACGGGTTACTCCTGGCTGTGCACTCAGGAATTATCCCTGGAGGCGCTCGGGGGACCATATGAGATGCTGGAAACTGAACCCGGGTGGGCCGCATGCACAGCAAACGCCCTACCTGCTGTGCTATCGCTCCAGCCCTGCAACCAGAATTTAAATAACTTAGACAGTTTCCTACTGTCATCACAATAATGTATTAATTCAGGTATGTCGAGCCGTAAAAGATGAAAATGGAGAAAACCTGAAGAGTGTGAAATTTCAGAAGAAATTAATATTTTAATTTTTAAAGACAGGATCAGACTATTACTTCAAAGTGGAGCCCGGAGCTCTCTTCGCTCCGTGTTCACGCGCTGTGGAGATGCACTATCCTGGGGGAGGGGGACACTGGCCCCTCTCCCTTCGCCCTGTGCGTTTGGGCAGCCATGGCGGTGCCCTCCTGCTCTGCGCTCAGGAGCCCCTCTCCTTTAAGGAGCCAGCGCTGTTCAGTTCAGCACCGAGGAAGAACCAGGCGGGTCCGACTTCTCACTGTGCTGGACAGAGCCGGTGCCGGCAGCTTCGCTGCCCCGGTGTCCACCGCACCGCCTGCAGCCCTTCATGCCTTTCCCTTCGCATCCCTGACAGTGGCGGACGGACCCGGCCCCGCTGCTGCTTTCAAGCGATACCTTGACAAGACTGTCAAGAGGAGGAAGGGGCTCCGGACCAGAGCGAGCCAGGCTCTGTGCCCCGGGACGCTGTGCCCAGCTATGCCCTCCCGGGACCCGCGGGCCCAGCTCTGCCCTCCCGGGACCCCTGGGCCCTGTTCTGCGCCCCAGGACCTGTGTTGCTCCCCGAGGCTGCAGCCCCCCGTCCGCTGCTCTCTCCACACTTCTGTGTCTGTCTCTTCCGCATCGCCCCACGTGTCGCCACGCCTGGGATCTTGTGCCAAATGCCCGGCGGGTGCTCAGTTACTAGTCACTCCACGGAACAGTATTTTGCCCTCCCGTTGTTCGTCGATTTGCTCGAACGGGCCCAGTAACGTCTCCATTGTGAGACTTGTTGTTACTGTGTCTGGCATATCGAATACGTCACGGGGAGCTTGCCAGGCTCTGCCGTGCGGGCGAGATACTCTCGGTAGCTTGCCGGGCTCTCCGAGCGGGGCGGAGGAATCGAACTCGGGTCGGCCATGTTGGCTGCGTGCAAGGCAAACGCCCTACCGCTGTGCTATCGCTCCAGCCCAGAACAGTAAGGTTGTGCTTTTGCGTTCCATCACACGCTCAAACACTGAGAGCACAACAGCAGAGAGCACGGCTTTCAGAAGCTACTTAGGAAAAAATTAAATATTTCCTTGCCCCTAAAAGGAAAAAGAAAAAAAAATCCCTCCCCTTTTTTTGGGCAGTTGTGTTTAGGGGCCCACACCCAGCAGTGCTTGGGGGTTACTCCTGGTTCTGTGCTCAGGAATCAATCCTGGCGGGCTCAGGACCAGATGGGGTGCTGGAGATTGAATCCAGGTCGGCCAAGGGCAAGGCAAGTGCTGGACCACCTCTCCAGCCCCCAAAATCCTTTCTAAGTACCCAGAGGCGTCCTCTAGACTCCAGAATGAGACCGTCACCGTGCGGTGAAACAGACAGGAAACGAGCCACAGGGCGGGCGTAAGCTCAGAGCAGGTCGGCACGACACGTCACCTCTCGGAGTCCTGCCAGGGCTTCTCCTGCTCGTAATCCTTCATGGCCTTCTCGGACTTGTCCTCCTTGTCCTCCCTCTTCCTCCCGCGCTTCTTCCGCTCTTCCTCCTCGGGAGGTTTGCTGCGACACGCCATCAGGCACTCCAGGACCCTCTGGTGCTTCTCCGAGTTGCTGATGTGGGCCCTGACCAGGGTTTCCAGCTCATTCCACATGATCCGGTACTGCTCGTCTCTGAAGCCAAGATTCAAACCGGGCCCTTAGAGAGACACGGGGGCAGCCACAAGCCCTCCCTCCCTCCCTCCCGCCGAGACAGGAGCGGCAGACCGGCCAACGCCTCCTTCCTCCCTCGGCAGGCCCCTGCACGTCACCCGCCGCAGGGACCCCCGCTCGCTCCCTCCCTCCCGGCCTCTCCCAACTCGAGCCCCTCCTCGCAGACCCTTCCCATCCGCAGCACGGTCCCCGGGAAGGGCGAAGCTACCTCTTGGGGCCTTTTCCTCGGGTACCGACTGTGGAGATAGGCAGAGGGTCGTTCTTCCTCTCCATATCCACGAGGTTGTATATTGTTTTCTGACAGTTTAGGACGTCTTCCTCTGTCAAAGACTCTTTCACAATAACGCTGGCTAACGGAACTACCTGTGACGGCAGAGGAAGAGGAGAGAGAAGCGCTTGAGAAGCCGGCCCGGCCCCCCGCGTGGGCCCACACGCGCCCACGCTCCCGGCAAGACCGTGTGGCTGACCTCGAGGAAGCCGGCACTCACCGCTTGCATGTTAAAAATGGTGGTTTGGGAGATGATCATGGGCCAGTAGCGCGTGTGTTTTTCTAATTGATCTTTCGCGCGTTCCAAAGGGATCTCAAGACTTCCGTCCATTTTATATCTGGGGTCTAGAAAAGGAGTTAATCTGTTTTCCCTCATAAATTCACCAAAATCCTAATGATAACCAAATAAGATAAAATTAGAAGCTATATCCTACGGTTTCAGTATGGATTACATGTCACAATCTGTCTCCCTGGTGGCCTGTCCGACCCTCGGGGAGGGACCACCCCCCACACCCACACCCCCCGCCCCGTATCACGCAGCTGGAGAAGTCTCGGTTCACACAACGGGACGGAGAAAGCCCCGGCATGAAAGGACTCTGGGTTCTTCCCACCTTGTAAGAACAAGGGACACTTCCCCCCTTCATTTCCATAACTTAACTCTTCTCTATGATACACTGATAACAGAATGAATGATCACCTTAGAACCCTAGCTTATTTAAAACTATCTTCAGTGGATGGTCAAATTTCTAACTTTAAATGATGGAATTAACATCATTTTAGTCTTTGTATTTAATTTTCTATATTTCTGAAAACACCTACTTATTTTTCCCTCGAGTTAAAGATGTAAAAAGAACCTCCCCACACAGGCTAATCAAATTTCTTATAGCAGATAGTGTGTCGGTGTACTTTCAAGGAGCAGTAAACATGGGCCAGAGAGAGACAGGGTGAAGGCACTTGCCTTGCACGCGGCTGGCCTGATCGGACCCTCAGCACCTGCCTGAGTGAGAGACAGCTGGGCACAGGAGCAAGCCCTGGGACTAGCAGCTGTGGACAGACCCTTCCCTCTTCACCCCAGCGGACAGCCACCCACATTTCAACTTCACCCTCACCGCACAGAGTGGGCAGCTCGGCTCTGGCTGGGAAGCATGTCCGCAGGGGGGAGCCCTGGTCTGACCACCTCAAGAAGTAGCCCCTGAGCACTGCAGGCTACAGACCCCCCCAAAGAAGCAGACAGCCATAAAACTGATTCTAAAACTGATTCTAAAAAGACAGCAAGATGAAAACAATCAGTCCCCCAAAATTTCCTTATGGTCAGTAACCTTTCGTAGAAAAATTAAGTGTTTCAAAGTAACAACAATTCAAGCTAGAGCAACAGGATAGCAGGGAGGGTGCTTGCCTCGCAGGCAGGCGATGCCCGACACCCCATAGGGTGCCCTGAGGCCACCAGGAGTGATTCCTGAGTGCAGAGCCAGGAGTAAACCCCAGCACCGCTGGGTGTGACCCAAAACTAAATAAAACCAAAAAACACCCAGGGCTGGAGCGACAGCACAGCGGGTAGAGCTTTTGCCTTGCATGTGGCCGACCTGAGTTCGATTCCCAGTATCCCATATGGTCCCTCGAGCAACACCAAGAGTAATTCCTGAGTGCATGAGCCAGGAGTAGCCCCTGTGCATTGCCAGGTGTGACCCAAATATCAAATAAATAAATAAATAAATAAATAAATAAAAATAAAATGAATAAAGCACCAGAGGAGCAGCAACTCAAACGCTGTCGTCTGCCATTTAATTGACTAGAAATGAAGTTCCACTGAAATACTGGCTCCTTGTATAATTGAACCCCAAGCACAAAAATGTGTAAGTCTGCAACTGTACCTCATGATGTCTCACTATTAAAAAATTTTTTAATAAAAAAAAAAAAAAATACTGGCTCGGCTCAACCTCCATTCCATCCTGGACTGTGGTTCGTCTACGCTCTCCAGAGACTGTGCACGGCGCGACAGGTATCTAAGGACTCCAGCGAGAATTCTCCCCTGAGCAAAGTCTGCCCGCAGGACGCTCGCCCAGCGATGACAATCGAGCCCTCAGACCCACCTTCCGCGTCAGAGCTTAGCGCTGACCTGGCTCCCCCCACCCAGCATGAACGAGACAGACAGAGGAGCGCGAGGAGAGCTGTGGGCCTTACTGTGATCCGGTAGTCCGTCACTCTCCCGCCACACCCCTCGCTGATCGAAGGGGGGTCTTCTAGAATGGACCGAGAGCTGCTGAGGACGTGCAGGAAAATCTCTCCTCCGTGGCTACTGAGCATGTGGCTGATGACTTTGGAACCCGACTTCCGCGGCTGCTCCAGCAGGACCGAGCGGCCTGTCCAAGGCGAGAGGGGGGTTAGGCTGGGAGCGCCCAGGTTCCCGTCCCCCTTCACGCGTGGCCCTTGACCTCTGACTGTCTGAATCTCCAGGTTTTCACCAGCAAGGCTGACCTACTGGAGGAGCACTCGAGCCCCGGAGCCTGGACTCTCCTTCGCCTCCGCTCGTCTCCGCGGGCTCTCAAAGTGCCTCTAGCACCTTGTGGCTTGTAGTTTTTCAATTACGATTTTATACACGATTTTCCCCCTGGATGCCAGGAAGAAAAAGGAGACGAGGCTACAAAGCCCTCACGTTATCTAGCAGCCTCAATTTACTGCCACAAACCCCACCTGCCCTGTTACCAAAACTACTTCCCGTTTCACAAGACTGAACGTTATTTTATCTGGACTTTATATAATAAACACTGCGCTTCCTACAAGAACGCAATTAGCCTTGTGCGAGAGGCAGCCTGCCTTTTCTTGGTTCAAAGTCTAGCTGATCAGGGGAATCACCAAGCGAGATTCAGCAAATGGATCCCAATCAATCGTCACAGCAGATTTAAGGCCAAATGCCGAAGAATCACATAACAGTAAAACGTACTTTTACAATAAAGGTTCGTGGGGTCTGGAGCGATAGCACAGCAGGTAGGCCGTTTGCCTTGCGTGCGTCCAACCCGGGTTCGATTCCCAGCATCCCATATGGTCCCCTGAGCACTCCCGGGGTAATTCCCGAGTGCGTGAGCCAGGAGTAACCCCTGGGCAATGCCAGGTGTGACCCAAAAAGCAAAAACAAAAGTACAGTGTTCAAATGAAATCAACCCACATATGCTCTGTAATTCATACGCAACTGATCAAGATAGATGGGCTGCTAGTCATCCAATAAAAGGTTCAACTTGAACTCGAATGCTCGGAATTTAGGTGAAAACACACAAAAAACCATACTTGTGCTATCCACAAGGGCAATGGTCTACGAGACCTGAGCTTATTTTTGGGTATCAGTAAAACGGCTCCAGGCTGACCACTGCGCGGACCCAGTGCCCGGCTCTGGAGTTCACACGCCGACACTTCTCAGAGATCTCTCCGGCACGCAGCTCGGAGTCAGTCATGAAAGGCCGAGAGTTACCGTTCAGCAGGAAGTTGGTGAGGCAGGAGGACGGCCTGCTGTTGACGTCAACGGGGGAGATGCGGTAGGCGCCCGTGCAGTAGTGCAGCTCTGCAACGGAAGCAACGGAGGGAATAGGGCCCAGTGACAAAACCTTCTTCCTCACACCCAGGAGGGCTCCGAGAAACGCGCCCCTCGGCAGTGCTTCCGGCACCGCCCTCTCCTCCCCCCTCCCCCTCCCCCTCTGCGCTCGGGCACCCACCAGCACCCACCGATGTTGTTCGTCCTCGGGGTGCACCACTTCAACGTGATGGTCTCCTTGAAGGAGCCTTCTCTGCTGCTGCCGCCGACGTGGGTATCTCCTTGAAAGTAAGCCAGAGACAGCCGCTGACTCACTCGGTCCCACCTTCCAACCGCTCACCCCAAAGTCCCAGCAGAGGTTAGGCCCGAAGCAGGAAATGCTTCTGGGAGGGCGTTTTGTAGACCCTCCTGGGGAAACATCGACCGTTTTAGAGCTAGTTGCATGAGAGAGAAATGCTTCCTTCTCCTCCAAACTTCCTATTGGAAGACTCCAGCCAATGAAACAAGGAGGGAACAAAGGAGTCTCGGCCTGGAGCAGCCAGACGAGAGGTGGAGGTGTCTGTGGGACGGGAGACAATTCCATCTCCACACAGAGAGCTCTAAACCAGGGGGTCAGGATGAGCGTTCTGGACCGGGACAGCTGCGGCAGGAGGCGACAGGACAGGGAGGAAAAGGTAACGGCAGAGCAGAGGCGGACGCATGGGGCACGCTTCAACGCTAACACCCGGTGCTTGACTGCACGCCACGAGTCCGGCCGTGTCCCTGTACTACAAACAGCCCCTCAAACTCCACCAGGAGGAACCCCCGGCACTCCCTTAGAACTGGGCTGACCCCAACCCCCAAAGAGAAAGAATACAGAAATGAACAATGAGGGATGAGTCTCAAGGCTCCGTCACAGAACCGGGTGGCCAGAGGGGTCCTCCGGTCTGAGCCCAGGAGGGCAGAGCTGCTCACAGCCCCCAAAACACAACCGGGCCACACTGCCCTCACCCCTGCAACTCAGCAGCAAGTGCCCACATGCAACCTCGGGCCGGGCCAGCGGCGGCTGAGGTGCCACGCTCAGAGCTGCTGTTGATATGCTTCCAAGTCCCAGAGAAATAGCCGTTTTAAAAGTCGATGCTATCTGCTGAAAGTAGACTATAGACCGAACATGATTGCCCCTCAATTCCTCTTTTGCAAACCAAGCACCCAGAAGGAGAGAGAGAACAAAAGAGAATGCCCTACCACAGAGACGGGGGGGGATGGGGTGTGGGAGGGATACTGGGATCAGTGGGGGTGAAAAATGGGCACTGGTGGAAGGATGGGTGTTCGATCACTGTATAACTGAAACCCAAGCACTAAAGTTTGTAAGTCTACAACTGTACCTCATGGTGTTTCACTAATGAAAATTTAAAAATAAATAAATAAAAGTTGATGCTATCTCACAGGTTTGCAAACATTTCTGGGATTCCAAAACCAATTATTGCTTATCAAACATCAATACAGCCATTTATCTCAGTTCTTCTCCTGTTATATTTTCGTATGGGGTGAATTCCAAGATTCCTAACACGATAATGACTGGCCCATGGTATAAAAGTCAGAAAAAAAGACACACAACAAGGTAAAAGTAAATAGTTTAACTTGGAGATTTTAGTTTACAAAGAAAACATCCTAAAGTCAAAAGTTAAAAGGCGGCCCCCAACCAAGCCACCCCCAGCCACCTCTGTCGCCTCAGGAGGCCTCACCTCGCGGAGCACAGGGTCTGGGTCTGGGCCTGGACAGGCCCGAGGCCGGGGGATCACGCCCATATGCCAGTGGCCCTGTGGAGGCTCAGCCACTGGCCTTGTTCCAGAGACTCAACTCTCCAGAGACCACCTTGCCACACACATTTCTTGGGCTGCCGTTCCCAGGGGAGACCACTGGGGGGCTTCGGCGGGGCTTGGGCTAGCTCCCACCCTAACAAAGCCTGGGCAGCAGCTCCCACACCCCAAAGCCACTGCTAGTTAAAAATTTAACTCCAGGGGCCGAAGCGATAATAAATACAGCAGTTGGGCATTTGCCTTGCATGTGGCCAAACCGGGTTCGATTCCCAGCATTCCACATATCCCCCCGAGCACCGACAGGAGTAACCCCTGAGTGCAAAGCCAGGAGGAATCCGAGCATCGCCAGGTGTGACCCAAAACAAACAAACAAACAAAAAAACCCCAAAAAACAAAAAAAAACTCCAGCCAGACTGCGCAGTTAAGAATTCTAGACTTTTCTGGAGGATGGGATCAGTATCTCCAGTATCTCCAACACTGACAATCCCAGTAGAAGGTGGATAGGATGCAAGGCAGGCGGCAACCAACGTCGACCCACGAAAGCATCACCACGGAAGGACTCACCACCACATCGCTGCAAAAGGCTTACCGCGCAACAACGCTCAGGAAACCCTCAGGCAGGACTTAATGCCCCATGGTGAAACACAACAATTTCCACAAATTTCCTTCTACATCTTTTCTTAATCGTTCTGTTAGCCACTTAGGGATCCCAAACAGCATGAAATACATGATTGTGGGCCTGCTCGGGGCAAACCTGCAGGCGGGTTGGGAAAACAGACGAAGGTGGAGGGAAGGGGACAGCGATGACGGGGTTGGGGTTGACACCCGAGTGCCTGTGACAAACCCTCACGAACAACACCGTGAACTACGGTGTTGAAATAAGGCGGGGCGGTGGGGGAAGGAACCCTACACGGGACAGGACTGGAGCACAGGACTATGGGCAGGGTGCTGGCCCTGCATGCGGCTGACCTGGGGTCAATCCCTGGCCCTCCAGGTGGTGCCCTGAGCCTCACCAGGACTGACCCGTGAGCACAGAGCCAGGAGTAACTCCCAAGCACCAGGTGAGTATTGGGTCTGGCTCCCCCCACAAAAACTTTAAAATTTGTGTTGAGGGCCGGAGCGATAGCACAGCGGGGAGGGCGTCTGCCTTGCACGCGGCCGACCCGGGTTCGACTCCCAGCATCCCATAGGGTCCCCCGAGCACCGCCAGGAGTGATTCCTAGTGCAGAGCCAGGAGGAACCCCTGTGCATGGCCGGGTGTGACCCAAAAAGAAACAGGAAACTGCACTGAATTTTAGGAATGGACGGAATGAGGCTCCTCCGGCCCAGCACCCCGTCTGCAAGTGTGCGAGCTGCCCGGTGGCCAAGCTGTGTCTCCGCTCCGGCTCCTCTCTCCTGCCTTTCCCTCACCCTGGCTACGAGCCTGGCAGCAGCCGGCTCTGGAAACAAGTGCTAGGGATGCAAATCATTCTTAGAGCGGAAGAAAATAAATTTCAACTTCAAAACAACGGATTTTTCAATTGTCTGGGGGAACAGCCAGCAGTGCTCAGGAGTCATTCCAGGCGGAGCTCCGGGATCACATGGGACGCCAGGAGCCACCTAGAGGACAAGCACCTTAGCGGCTGCACTGCTGCTCCGGCTCTGGAATACTGATTTTTTTACCAAGCGGGTTTCGAGCCCATCGCCCTTCGGAGACGGCATCTGTTCTGTCCCTTCTCCAAGGGGGCTGGTTTGCAAACAAGAAAATCAACGCAACGGCTCTTTCCCCAAGCAGTTGCTAAGCACCGGCTCGGAGGCCATGCGTGACGGTGACCAGGCAGGTGTGTGTGTGTGTGTGTGTGTGTGTGTGTGTTGGGGGGGGTGGTGTCTAGCCAGCCAGGTGTTTCCTGAAGCACTCAGAGGCGTGTGGCACATCACGCTGTGTACAGAGTCAGACTCACCACTTTTCAGGAAGTCCACATGTGCGTCCTTGTGGTGGAGGAGCTCCACGTCGTAATTGGCAGAAGTGTTGGCGTGCTGTTCTTCCTGAAGGTCAAGTTTAAAATCTTAGTTTGGCTCTGAACAGTACACACAGCGGGGCCTGGGCAACAGCACAGGCTTTCCTGGCACGAGGCCGGCCCGGATTCCATCCCCGGCAGCCCATATGGTCCCCCAAGACGGCCAGAGCCAGGAGTAAGTTCTGAGCATCGCCAAGAGTGGCCCCGAAACACATACAACAGCAAAGAACCGTACGTAGGTATGTAGGAGTACAGGCACACCTGGCACTGAAATCTGAGAGACCCAGCAACCCTTCGTTGCAATGATAGAAACCACGAGTGAACCAAGATTTTAACTACTTAAAGACGCAGATTCTCACAGCTACATGAACTGTTAAAAAGCCACACACGTGGCCCACCTGAGTCTGATCCCCATCGTCCCATATGGTCCCCGAGCACCAGGAGTGACTCCTGAGAGCAGAGCCAGGAGTATGCCCTGAGCATCGCAGGGTGTGATCCAAAAAGCCAAAGAGCAACAAAACAACCAAACAAAAAAACCCACAAAGACCACTGTCCATGTATAATAGAGATTTTTTCGTATCAACAGATGAGTAAGCTAGAAATTTTGGAAACTTTTTCCAGCATATGCACTGTCTTGCCAATACTTTTTCTATACTAAAACAATGTAATTTTGGGGCTGGAGCAATAGCACAGCAGGTAGGGAGTTTGCCTTGCACGCGGCTGACCTGGGTTCGAGTCCCAGCATCCCATATGGTCCCCCAGCACCGCTGGGTGTGACCCAAAAAGAAAAAAAGAAAAACAAATAAACCATGTAATTTAAATGTTTCACGTGACCTGAGATTGCAGTTTAAACAAGACAGCATCTTTATAAATACTGTTGGGAGGGGCCCCAACATAGCTGCAACATCTTTAAATACCTACAGGGCTGGAGGGGTAGCCAATACAGCGGGTAGGTCGCTCGCCTTGCACACAGCCGACCCAGGTTCAATCCCCAGCACTGTATGGCCTCCTGAGCACTGACAGGAGTGATCCCTGAGCGCAGAGCCAGGAGTCATCCCTGAACACTACCAGATGTGGTTCAAAAAAAAACAAAACCAAACAAACGAAAGAGTCTAATAACACAACTGTTAAGAATCACAGAAAAAGTAATCATGTTAAGACAAAGATTATACTTTTATGCAAATAGTGAGAACATAATTAAAAACAAAAAGCTGACTCTGTTCTCTTCAGAAAGATAATTTCAGCATTTTGTTCTATGACTCTGTCTTCTCACTTTTTAGTAATCACGGCCCTGGTCAAACACAGAGTTTGGACTAGCAAAACAGGGAATCTCATCTGGGGGAAAGTTGTTATGGTTTAAGGGAAATAAGTGACGCATGCCAAACAAGTATTTAAAAAGGAATCAGCATCTTCAACGGAGGAGGAAAAGAACAGCCTACCTTCATTGGGATATTTGTAATCGTTGTCGATGCCAAGTCGAAATGCTGCTGTACTAAAATATTTAACTTGGTAGCAAGATGCCGTCCGGCACGAACACTGTGCACCTCGCTGGTTAAAACCGGAGACAACTGCAAAGAAGAACCAAAAAGGAGCTCAACGAACGCCAAGGGATGGGGGCTTGGGCTGAGCAGGTAACCTGCAACCGTGGGAACAAAATGTTCTTGTGTTTCAGAATTTAGGGGGGAAATGGAAGGTCCATAAAGTACCCTGATGATGACTTTAGCAATAAATCTCCACTCAGAACTGAGCATCCTCTGGGCTGGCGCTCTCTGGGAACTGAGAGAGAAGGCAGTGGTCTAAACAGCTCTTCCAACGGATCAGTGTAGCCTCCCTGACACAGGTGTAAGAGGGCCCTGCAGAAAAACGGTCCACTGCACAGAGACCAGCCCTGAAGATCAGGTCACTCACTACGAAAAACGTGCAAACATCCTGTTCCGGCACCAGGAAATGCATTAAGGCAACGCAAAGTAGATTACAGCAAGGCAGCACAAACTGTACCTATTCAGATCAATATTTACTGTAGATTTAAAAAAAAAAAGATTCTACTCAGGATATTTTAGGGGCTAGAAATAGCACAGCAGGTAAGGCACTTAGTCACCCGAACCTTGCCAATGAGGGTCCCGAGAACCAGGAGCAAGCCCACAGCACAGCCAGCTGTGGCCCAAAACCAAAAAAAAAAAAAAATTCATAATTACTGTAAAGTTAATATGTTGCCACTTTGTAGCAGAGCTCACCAAAAACAGGATTAGCCTGGAACCCAAAAAAATGATAATGATACAATAACCCAAACACTGTGAAGGGAGTGAAAGCTGGAGCGATAGCACAGCGGGTAGGGCGTTCGCCTTACAAGCGGCCAACATGGCCGACCCGAGTTCGATTCCTCCGCCCCTCTCGGAGAGCCCGGCAAGCTACCGAGAGTATTCGATATGCCAGACACAGTAACACCAAAGTCTCCAATGGAGACGTTACTGGGCCCGCTCGAGCAAATTGACGATCAACGGGAGGGCCTTTACTTAGGGCCTTTAACCGAAACACACCGGGGAAACCATATTTTTACCATCGAGTATTGCTTTTCTAATGAAGAAAAAAAATTAATAAAAATAGTTATCAAAGGAACACGTAAATAAGAAATTTAGGAATACCAACTGTGCACAGTTTGCAAGTGTCAGCAGGCAAGCGAAACAGAACACAATTTAGAACCCACAATTATAACCTAGTGACCCGATCAAGGCGTTTTCCATAACTGGCTGCTCTGCAAACTGCATTGATTCTTGGCAGAAAGTCGCTGGTGGCACTGTGCTGGCGTTTGCTTCGGTGTTTCTCGCAGTGGCTGGGTCGGTCCTGCACTCACCTCCTTCTTGGGCCGGTCAGACACGAGGCTATCTTCTCCGACGGGGTAGGTGTGGATCAGGACCAGCTCACACTTCTGAATCTGCATGAGACTGAGAGAGACTTCCCATTCAGAACGCTAGCATCCACTCTAGGCAAAGGGTTCAGGACAGAGGGCCGGAGCGAGAGGACAGCGGGGAGGGCGCTTGCCTTGCACACGGCCGACCCGGGTTCAATCTCCGGCATCCCATATGGTCCCCCGAGCCCCACCAGGAGAGATTCCTGAGTGCAGAGTCAGGAGTAAGCCCTGAGCATTGCCGGGTGTGACTCAAAAACAACAAAAACAAACAAAATCTGTAAGTTTACGCATTATTTTCTCCTTCAAGTCACTTTTCCCATGAGAAAATAATGAAGCTGCCTCTGGAGTGAAAGGGAAAACAGGGGCAAAAAGGTTTCTCAGCAGACATGTATTTTCATTAAAGGCAGGACTGCGCGGAACTCAAGGGAACGCTACCAGTCATCTCTGAAACGGTTGGAAAGAATGAAACACATGACTGAGAAACGGCAAGTTTGCCACTGAGGGGTCACGCCCACTGGTCTGAGGGGTTACGCTCACTTTATCTGAGGGGTTATACCACCCGATCTGAGGGGTTACACCCCCTGGTCTGAGGGGCTATACCCACTGATCTGCGGGATGGCACTCATTGACCTGAGGGGTTATACCCCCTGATGTGAGGAGTTATACCCCCTGATCTGAAGGGTTACACCCATGATCTGAGGGATGGCAACCACTGATCTGAGGGGTTATACCCGCTGATCTGAGGGGTGACACCTGCCGATCTGAGGGTTATACTCACTGATCTGAGGGGATCACACTTTCTGATCTGAGGGGTTACACCCACTGATCTGAGGGATCATACCCGCTGATCTGAGGAGGTCACACTCCCTGATCTAATGGGTTATACCCACTGACCTGAGGGGTCATACCCGCTGATCTGAGGGGGTCACACTCTCTGATCTGAGGGGTTATACCCACTGATCTGAGGGATCACACCCACTGATCTGAGGGCCCATACCTGCTGATCCGAGGGATCATAGCCACTGATCTGAGGGGTCATACCCACTGATCTGAGGGGTCATACCCAGTGATCTGAGGGGTTATACTCACTGATCTGAATTTGCCGCCAGCTTGTTGTGCTCATGGATTGTCTCCTGGACACAGTCCTCAAGCATTCGCACATGGCTATCACTAAGATAGAAAAGAAGCGACAAACTTAAAGGAGGGACACATACCAGGACAAAGGAAAGTCGCTTCCCCGGTTGTGCCCTGTGTTCGGTACTCAATACGGTCATGGAAATGAGCCGCATGGGCGTAAGGATGGTCTTCTGTGGCCTCCTTCACAACACCCAAACCAGCAGCTGCAGAGCCGGTGAGGAAAGCACCTGTACTGACCCACACAGTGGGAAGGGAAGATCCCACTGGGTCGAGTCTTTGTTTTAGAATGAGAAAATTAGCGCTTAATACCAGAGAGGCCACAGGTGGTTTGCCTGAAGCTGACAGGAGAACCTGCGCTCTCCCACAGAAGAGCAGGAGGCCTCTGGACGCCTCAGCGGGAGCGTGGCTGTGCCCAGCGCCTCACCTCTTTGCATTCGTGATGCAGATGATCCGTCCTCGGTTGCCTACCCGTTCTGCATTCTCCATGAGCTGGGTGCGAGCCTCGTGCTGGTACTCTGTGATTTTACAAAGCGTCTCCACGGCGGCCACAAGTCCATGCAGAATACTGCAGCATTCAGGGTCTGCCCGTGGGTTGGGGGGCCCGACACCGGCTAAGGCGGCCATGAGCTAAGCAAGAGGAAAAAGACCGCGTTGACAGAAGGATGCACAGAGACACCGTGAGGAAGCTCAGGCCCGTGTCTTCCACACAGGGACCCCCATCCCCACTGGAACACGAGCACTCTGACTCCAGTGACAGAGAAAACAAGCTCCACATTGTGCCCAAGCCTGATCCAGCCCCCGAAATGCAAAGTTGATTTGACGTCTAAATTAACAGTTTTGTATCTGATCAATCAAAAATAAACAAAAAATAGAACGTAACATTTTTCGGTTTGCTTTCTTTTTTGGGTCACACCCAGCAGTGCTCAGGGCTTACTCCTGGCAGGGTCTGGGTGGAACAAATGGGATGCCAGGGGCTGAACCCAGGCTGGCCCTGTACCAAGACAAGATCCCTATCCACAGTACGATAGCTCCAGCCCCAAAAGTTAATGTGAAAGATGTCTTCCCCCACCAACCGCCAATTTTCAGTTTTTGTCTTTGGGCCCCACCTGTACGCTCAGGGGTTACTCCTGGCTCTACACTCAGCAATTACCCCTGACAGTTTTGGGCGATCTTATGGAATACAGGTGACTGAGCCAAGGCCAGCCATGTGCAAAGCAAACAAACCCCCACCCACTTTTTAAAAATACATATCATCTCCAAAAGGCATCATTTTATAAGAAACTCAACAAACTAGAAACAAAAAGGAATTTTCTCAAGCAAGTAAAAGACGTAAAAAAAAAAAAAAACCTACAGTAAAAATTGTACATAGGGGCTGGAGCAATAGCACAGCGGGGAGGGCGTTTGCCTTACACGCGGCTGACCCAGGTTTGATTCCCAGCACCCCATATAGTCCCCCGAGCACCGCCAGGAGTCATTCCTGAGTGCACGAGCCAGGAGTAACCCCTGTGCATCGCCGGGTGTGACCAAAAAAAAAAATGTACATAAGGATGAAGATTAAATGTCCACTGTTAGATCAGAGGCAGAAGGATGTCCAGTTCCACCACTTCAATTCCACACTGTTCTAAAGGGGTCTAGCAGAGAAATTAGGAAAAAAATAAAAGGTAAAGGTAAAGGCCCTCCCGTTGATCGTCGATTTGCTCGAGCGGGCCCAGTAACGTCTCCATTGGAGACTTTGTTGTTACTGTGTCTGGCATATCGAATACTCTCGGTAGCTTGCCGGGCTCTCCGAGAGGGGCGGAGGAATCGAACTCGGGTCGGCCATGTTGGCCGCTTGTAAAAAATAATAATAATAAAAACTGGAGAGGAAGTAAAATATATGTCGCAGATGCCATGATCTCATAGAGAAAAAAATCCTCAGGAGCCCAATTAAAACTCTGAGGGATAATAATAATCAGGTCAACCACCTGTGTATCTATATACACTTGCAAAATAAAATTAGTAAAGAAAAATCGATTTATAAATAGCATCAAAAAGAATAAAACACACAGGAACGAAAGAAAAGCGAACCATCTGCTCTGAAGCCGACAAAGCAGGGTTGAAATACAATAAAAATCCGAATGATGGCATCAGAGTAATAGTACAGCAGAGAGGGCGTTTGCCTTGCACATGGCCAACCGGGGTTTGATCCTGGCACCCCATGATTCCCCCAAGCCCGCCAAGAGTGATCCCTGAGCCCAGAGCCAGGAGTAAGCCCTGAACACCACCAGGTGTGGCCCCAATACAAAACCCAAACCAAGATAAAACAAAATCCAAATGACTGGAAAACGCCTCATGCTCACAGATGGAAGACTCAGTCTTCTTAAGACGGCAACACCAGAACTGAATCACAAACCCAACGGCAGCCCGGTCTGAATCGCAACTGGTCTTGCTGCAAAAATAAACAGGCTATTCCTAAACTTCACGGTATGAAGCCAAATAACGAACACAGTCCGGGAAGGAACCAAGCAGGAGTTCCCTGCTTTGTAGGGCCATAAAGACGCTCTGAAGAACAGGCCTCGGGAAGGGCGGGGTGAGATGCGCCCGGTGGCCTGCGCCACAGGGAAACCAAGACGACTCGCATTTCAATGCGAAATCGAAATCGGAATCATCCGACAGGACAGACCGAGCCGGTGCCTTCTCCCCTGGCTCAGGGAGGGCTGACAGCAAATCTCCAGCACATGGGACGTCTGGAGCTTCCTGGCCCGCGGCATCCGTGAGCAGGAGGGAACCCACAGCGAAGCCTGCCTCTCAATCCCCGGCCCACAAAACGCAGACGTGAGGCCCTCCAGTCTGCCGGGGGCCTCCGCTGGACTCACGGTGCAGGGGCAGAGGTGGCAAGCGGAGAAGAAAAGTCCCAACACAGAGAGAGAGACCCTGAGAGCAGGAGAAATGTCAAACAACAGGGCACCCGCAGATTCAAAAAACAGCATGTCACTGAGAGACTAGGAGAGAACAAAAATGGGCATAACTGCAATGCATGACACTTCTCAGAAATGAGAGACACAGGAAGGCTAAGGAGGTAAACGAGACGAAGCATGAGAAAAAGACGGATCCATCCAGGAGGCCCTGTATCCCACTAACGGACGCCAGAGAACAGAGCCAAGGGCAGCCTGGAACGGCCTTCAGAGGGAGAGGGAACTATTTCCAACAGGAAATCTTTACATTCCAGCATCAATAGGGTACCTGGGAAGTTATAGGGACCCTAGAGGAGAAACTCTATAAATCGAGACTATACAAAAGGAAAACAGAAAAGCAAAAGGGGTTGGAAAGGGGGCTGGAGCGATAGCACAGCGGGTAGGGCGTTTGCCTTGCACGCAGCCAATATGGCCGACCCTGGTTCGATTCCCAGCACCCCATATGGTCCCCTGAGCACCGCCAGGAGCAATTCCTGAGTGCCTGAGCCAGGAGTAACCCCTGAGCATCGCCGGGTGTGACCCAAAAAGCAAAAAAAAAAAAAAAAAAAAAGGGGGGGGGTTGGAAAGGACAGTGGTGGGAGGGTGGGTGCCAACCTCGAGGGGAACCAGCGCCCCAGAGCAGGGGAACGTGTGGAGCAGCTGGAAATATTCTCCCGCTACATCGCCAACGCACTCGGACAAAAACAGCAAGAAATTCTGTTCACACGAGGAAAAGCAGCAAGACACACAGAAATGCATGTTACAAAGAAAAGCGGGGAAACAGGAAGTTCCAGAAATCAGTGAAAAAACTACATGTGAAAATAAACTCCATGTTGTATTAGCCATAAATTAGACTTCTGGCAGATGCCAGAAGGTACGTGTGGAATTTCCAGCAAATCCAGAATTTGGATCTATCCAAACAGAGAACGTAAAGGACAGAGCATGGTGGCAAAAGTCAATAAGGAAAAATAGCTAATGTTTAGATTTCAGAAAATTTTGTCAAGAACGGTAGAAACAGACTTGGAAACGTGGAAGTAAATATCGGAAAAACACAGGAGTGAAAAACGTGCTTCCAGCAGGAGAGCCCAGGATATATACGGCTGTTTTTCTTTCGGCATTACAAAACAACATGCAAATACTTAGTAGGTCAAAAATTTTTACTAATTAAAAACAATGTCCTAACAGATAATTCTCAGAAGCTAAAGCTTAAAAGCAAAACCATACCTCTTGCAAATTTTGGTCTTCTTGAGTCCAAGAATTTAAAACATGTGCTCCTGAGTCACTCACAATAAAATTCACCTAGTGGATGTCAAAGAAACAATTAGTATAACCAGTATTCAATGCGTGCTACAATGTATCAAATTGAATAAAAAAAAAATCATTGCTAAGAAATAGGTCTGAGGAGGTCCCTTTCCTCAGCACAAGGACAAAATGCCTGTAGCCTGCCCCTTGCTTCTGCCTGAGCTGCAGAACTCGGCATGCAGGGACCAGGAGAACAGCTGTTGCTCAAAACATGAAGACCAGCAAGCGAACAGGTCCTTTCCCGAGTGGCACGAGTTACGGTGGGAGGGGAGCTCGTCACACGCCTAGCAACCAAGTGCATCCACAAGGGGACGCCCGGAGCAGAGCGCTCAGGGGCCGACGGTGAGTCCATCAGGGTAAAGCAGGAGGACGGGAGGCGCGTGCCCTGCAGCCAGCCGGGCCTCCAGCACACAGGACAGCCCGGGTCACCAACGCCTGCTGCAGTTTGCAGGCTGCAAGGGGTGAAACCACCGATGCAGGGGCCAGAGCGATGGCACAGCGGGGTGGGCTCTTGCTCTGCATGTAGCCCACCCAGGCTCGATTCCCCAGCATCCCATCATACCATCCCTTGAGTACCGCCACGAGAGATTCTTGAGCACAGAGCCAGGAGTGGGCCCTGAGCACCACTGGGTGTGTACCCGTTTCCCACAACCCCCCCTCAAAAAAAAAAATTAAAGAAGAGAAAAGAAAGAAGGCCACTGATGCATGTTGAAACCACTGAGAGCAAGAAACAGACCTGAACTTTTACTTTTTGCTGAGGACTGAATGCTTCCTGTCACCGAGTCAAAGTTCCCAGGACTAGACTCTCAATCTTAAATAAAATGGCAGCAAAGAGCTTTCATCACGGGAAATGCTGCTGCCAGCAAGGAAAGTGGCGGCCAATATACGGAACGACGACCTTCCCTCTGGGGGCAGGGGCAGGCCATCCCCTGCTCTGGAGGATCTAATCTGCTCTCCTGCTTCCTCATATCAAAGCGTTTTCCTTCCCCAGGAAATGGGATCATTGGTGTCTCTCCTTTTCTTCAGCGACATCTTCCCCAGCCACTTGACCGATGGCATCTCACTGGGACCTTCTAAGGCCCACAGGAAGGAGGCACATGCTTGCCTTGGGGTGTGGAGGGGAGGGAGAACTGAGGCTTGGAAAGATTGATATGATCAGAATTACACTGCTGGTAGCAAATGCCAAGGCCTGATCCGAAGTCGACGCCTTAAAACAATGCATGATGGGGGGATGGGGGTGGGAGGGATATTATCCATGGTGGTGAAAAACGGGCACTGGTGGAGGGATGGGTATCTGATCATTTTATAATTGAAACCCAAGCACAAAAAAAATTGTAAATCTACAACTGTAAAAAAATAAATAAATAAAAATTAAAAAAAAAAAAAAAAACGATGCATGTGCCTTCCTCCCGTTTTATGTGTGTATTTACGCGACACAGTGCCCAACAATTTACAGGGAGACCAAAAACTTCATACAGTCACTGGTGTGTCTCTGATTCCCCACAGACTCTCCACGTCGCCTGACCTTCCTGCCCTGCCAGTTTGGCCTAAGAGTTGGTGGGTTCAAGTCCCGGCAGCTCGAAAAGAATCAGAGTGAATCACCCACTGCGGCTAAGCGGCCGAGACTCTGAAACCCACAAATTTCACCCTCGGAGGTTCCAGCAATCCTTAATTCCTTATTTTTCAGTATAAATGATTGCTGCCCAGCACTCTTAGGAGTATTTCGAGTGTGGCAAATCCGGTAGCTTAGCAGACTCTCCACAAAGCCAGAAGCAGCAAGGCAGCTTGGCTTCTGCCTCTAGTTCGGCGACTGAGGGCGCGTTTTCCCCCTTCGCCTGGACGTCTCATCTCCGACCAGGCAGCACCAAAGGCAGCAGCTCATCAGATGGCACACACAGGACAGGCACAGCACAACAGACGGAGCTCACATCCCCGCCTGGGCTGGCAACAGTTCTCCAGAGTCATTCTGCTCCCTGCTGGCTACTTCGTATTCCAAATACTGTCCCGGTATTTTTAGTATCTACAATAGGGTACTGTTGTGAGAATTAGCCAAGTTAATAAATGTGAAGCATTTCCCAACATGCCTGGTACATGTGGGAGCCCCATGGAGCACTGGAGCACTGTCCTTCTGTTGTTCATCGATTTGCTCGAGCGGGCCCAGTAATGTCTCCATTGTGAGACTTTGTTGTGGGAGCCCCATAATAGCTACTATTTTTTTGGTGGCCCTGATGAGTACTCAGATTAATATATTCACTCCAAAGGGGAGTTCTGCAACACACACACACACACACACACACACACACTTTTATAATAGTTTTAAGTCAGACCCTTAGCAACTTCACATATAAATAACATATCTGGTGCTGGTTTTGGCACTACTAAAATTGGGCCAATACAGAGAAGATGAGCACAGCCCCTTGCGCAAGGTAGCCAATCTGTGAGCGCTCCACACAACAGATAATTTCAAATGTATCTGGTGCTGAAGTTTATCCTTCCACTCATGAGATTGCATGAGCTGGTGATACGGTCAGGAACAGAGAATTTGCCTTGCAAGCGGGAAGCCCTGGGTTCCATTCCCAGCACTGCAAACAAGCCTGCCAAAGCAGAAAAACACACACCCCCTGCAACACCAAACCGTGAATCCGCGTGACCTTGGCACTCACCAGCTTTTTGAAAGGAAATATATCATACATTATTCTACAATATTCCATGGACGATTCTACTGAGCAAGTCCACAATGACTTAGAGATGGGCGCCAGAGGGATGATTCCCTGGGTCCTATTCTTCACCAGCATATCGAACTCCACGTGCTGTCTGCATGATTCTGCCATGTACGGGCAGTGATCCACCACAAACACGGTTTTATGAGACTCTGAAAAAATCTTCATTTTGCTTCAACCTGGAAGGGGAAAATGCACAGCAGTCAAGGAAGCGTTTGGTGACATTTAATAATAGTTTTCCTATTTCTGTTACTTCTAAGCGGTGTCCTTCCCTGAACAGCAGGCCGGGGGAGCACGAAGGAGCAGACTTCAATAAAATGTATCCAAACAGGATAAGAGTGAAAGCCGGCAGAAATACAAAGTATCAATTCCAGGAAAGGGCTACAAGCTGACAGGGCTGCCCTTCCGCAGACATCACAGCCACAGAGCTGCCCTTCCACAGACATCAACAACACTCGCTCCTACTTTTCATGTCTCATTTTGGGAACAAATCTTTGGGAAACATTTCTACCTCCAATTCTGCCAGATTCTTCCGCACTTTCCAAATATAACAAACGACAAATACCACTTAAAAACAACTTCCGTGATCTTTGCGATCTTTGCTGATCACAATGATCTTTAACATCCCCCCCACCAAAAAAAAAAAACTAAGCCATTTGGGGAGGGGGCGTTTCCTTCAAATAAGTCTGAAGATGTTATTTCCAAAATAAAAACAACCCAAATAAATTAGAAGTTGGGGCCAGAGAGATGAGACCTGCGAAGGCGCTTAGGCGCCCAGACGCGGCCCCCCAGCCCCCGGGGAGGGGGAAGGCCCAGCACCCGTGGGCGTGGAGAAAAGGAACAAAAACAAACAAAAACAAACAGAAGAGGAAGAGGAGGGAGGAGGAAGGGCCGAGCGAGCCCCGGGCTGGCATCTCGGACGCCGGGCGCGGGCTGCGCCCCAGACAAGGTCCCCGGCTCCCGCGTCCTCGAGGCCGACCGACCGCCCCCCGCGACTCCCGCCAAGGAGGGGGGAAGTTCGGGTCTTTTCTTCCCCCCTTTAACTTTTTCCCGCAAAAACCCCCGTTTCCCGGCGGCGCCCCCGGCCCAGGCCGCCCCGTCGGCGCCCGCCCGGCCCGGCCTCCGCGCCCCGCGCCGCGGCCTCCCCCGGCTCCCGGCGTACCTGCGGGCCGGGCCGAACCGGGCCGCGTCGAACCGGGCCGGGCCGGGCGGGCGCTGAGCGGCTCCGAGGACGCGGCCCGACTCGCACGCGGCGCCCCCGCCCGGCTCCCCGCTCGGGCCGCTGCAGCCCGGGTCGCGCCGCCGCCGCCGCCGCCGCGCTCGCAGCTGTCGCGAGAGTCGGAGGCGCCGCGAGCGCCCGCCCGCCCCGCCCCGCCCACCGCGCCCCGCCCCGCCCCGCGCGCAGGCCCAGTGGCGCCCCGCCTGGCCCCGCCCTCCGCGCCCCGCCCCGCCCTCCGCGCCCCGACCCCCGCGCCCGGCCCCGCCCCCGCGCGCAGGCCCAGTAGCGCCCCGCCCGGCCCCGCCCCCGCGTCGCGCGCCGCCGGGTCTCGCGAGACTTCGCGCGAGGAGGCGGCCCCGCGTCACGATGGCGGCGGCCGCCCGCTGAGGCCTCGCACCCGCGCCCGGCGCCGGACTCGCCCCCGCGGACCCGAGAGCCGGGTAAGGGGGGCCCCGCCCCTGTCCGGGCCACCGGGCGACGCCCCCGCCGGGCCCAGGGTCACTGGGGGTCGCCCCCGCCCAGGTCACCTGGTGACGCCCCCGCCGGGTCCAGGTCACTGGGGGTCGCCCCGCCCGGTTCAGGTCACGGGAGGGGGGTTCGCCCCGCCCGGCCCAGGTGACGCCCCCGCCCGGTCCAGGTCACTGGGTGATGCCCGCACCCGGCCGGGTCACCGGGGGTCGCCCCTGCCCCTGCCCAGGTCACTGGGGGTCGCCCCGCCCGGTTCAGGTCACGGGGGGGGGGGGGTCGCCCCGCCCGGCCCAGGTGACGCCCCCGCCCCTGCCCAGGTCACCTGGTGACGCCCCCGCCCGGTCCAGGTGCCTGGCGCCTGCGGGGCTGTCCAGGGTTCGGGGGAGCGAGGGACAGAGGTGGGTGGACACGGGGCAGGGCGGGACCAGTCGGGCGGGCAGTGCCGCATCCCGAGCCCCACGCGTGTCCCCGAGACCCCGGGGCGCCGCCCCCGCTGCCCGGCTCGGGGTGCTCCCGCCGCTGACCCCAGCTCCCCCGCGCTGCCCAGCCGCGGGGAGTGGCCCAGACGGGCCTGCGGGGCTGGACCGTCCCCCCACCCCCACCCCGTGCGTCCGGCGGGGGCCCGGGGGGTCCGGACTGGGCCCCCGTGCGCGGCCCCGGGCGGGCGCGGAGGGGCTGTCGCTGCCCGCCCGCCCCGGATCGGTTCGCAGTGCTCCAACCTTCGGGTTTCACCGGGCACCCAGTCCAGATGTGCGGGAACTGCATTTCGTGGAGGCTGCCACAGGAAGGTTTGGGTTTTTTGCTTGTTTTTTGGCTGAATTGCTGTTACCAACAGAGTCGTGTTCCTGGAAGCAGACGTTTTCCGGAGCGTCCTGGACTTGACCTGGCCTGAGCTCACCGGGCAGTGACACAGATCCTGGCTGTAAAAGCTCCTTTGTGTTCTGGCCCGGCCTCGGGGATCTCCTCTTCCCCAGCCGCCTGTCGGAGTGATGCTCCAGCTTGTCACACTGTAGCCGGGCAGCCGGTCTTGGCTTTCCTTTCTATGGGCCAGGCCTGGTGCGGCGCTCAGGGCCCACTCCTCACTCTGTGCTCTGTGTCAGTCCCGGTGGCCCTCTGGGGACCGGCTGGGTACCAGGACTGCCTGCAAGGCAAGCACCTTCATTTGCTGTGCTATCTCTTCCTCCACCCCACATTTTTTTAAATTTATTTATTTATTTTTGCTTTTTTGGGTCACATCCGGCGATGCACGGGGGTTAGTTACTCCTGGCTCATGCACTCAGGAATCACTCCTGGCAGTGCTCAGGGGACCGAATGGAATGCTGGAAATCGAACCCAGGTGGGTGCAAGGCAAACGCCCTCCCCGCTGTGCTGTCGCTCCAGCCCCACATTTTATTTTTAAATAGCTGTTACTTATAATATTCTTTGCGGAATGCTAGAGAATGGAATTGCCTGAGACACTTCCATTTGTAAATAAAATCAAAGAATGTGTATTAGAAGTCACCTGCCATTGGGATCCGCCCATAGAAAAGAATAGAAGTACGCCGTGATTAGTTCAAACAAGCACCGTGTAAGTTTACAGTTCTTCTTTCGGGAGTCCTTCAAACATTTACAATGTGAGGGGCCAGAGCGATAGTACAATGGGTGGAGTGTTTGCCTTGCTCACAGCCAACCCAGCTTTGATCCCCAGCGTCCCACATGGTCCCCCGAGCATCTCCAGGAGTAATTCCTAAGTGCAGAGCCAGGAGGAACCCCTGAGCATCACTGGGTGTGACCCAAAAAGCCAAATAAATAAAATATATATATAATTTTTTAAAAGAAATTTAATGTGAGGAGCTGGAGAAATTGTCCAGGGCATAGATAGGCATTTGCCTTGCATGCAGCCCACCATGTCTCCGGCATATAGTCTCCAGGAATGGTCACCAGGAGTGGCCACAACTGGGTGTGCTGCCCAGAACAGGACATTTTTAAAAATCTGTTAGAGTGGGGTTGGAGCCATAGCACAGCGGGTAGGGTGTTTGCCTTGCACGCGGCCAACCCGGGTTCGATTCCCGGCATCCCATATAGTCCCCTGAGCACTGCCAGGAGTGATTCCTGAGTGCAAAGCCAGGAGTGACCCCTGAGCTTTGCTGGGTGTGACCCAAAAAGAAAAAAAAATTTGTTAGAGTATGGAAAATTATCATCTTCCCACTCACTTGCCTATGGGGCTGGGTGGGGGGCAGTTTACACAGTTTTTTTTGTTTTTGTTTTTTTAATGGCAAGGTAAATGCATACTACGAAACATTTTTAACTTTTCTGGAGCTGACAACTAGTACAGTGGCAAGAGCACTTGCCTTGTACAGAGTGTATCCAGGGTGGTCTCTGGCACCCCACACACTCCCCCAAACCTGCCAGGAGTGATCCCTGAGCACCGCTGGGTGTGGCCCAAAAACCAAAGACATATATTTTTAACTTTTCTGTGGTTTCACATACAGGAAATGAGCATGCAGGTTCCTCGAAACTGTGTCACTGTTTTTTCCTAAGTGCTGTTAGAATGAATGCCTTCAGTTGCCTGGTGTTCATAATTCCTTTCCCTAAGCAGGTATGTTATAGTAAAGAAAAATTCAAATGGAGTTAATTTTGGTAGTAGTGTTTCCTTGTGCAACGGGAGATTTTGTTTGGGGCCACATCCGGCTGTGCGTAGGGCTTACTCCTGGCTCTGTGCTCGTGGGTCATTCCTGATGGTGCTTGGGGACCATACGCAAGTGCCCAGGATTGAACTGGATTGGCATGTACAGGATAAGTGCCCTACCTCCCGTATTATCTCTCTGGCCCTAGAGAAGGTTTTTAAATGGATGTTTTAACTGTAACATCAAAAGCCTATCAGGTAATATTTATTGAGGTTCTCTGAATGTAAAGAGGACTTTCATTAAGTATTCCATATGTTCTTTGTTCATGCTGTTTTTGTTTATCCTCTGATTTATTGCTGGTTTGAAATTTGGGTTGCCTTTTTTTTCCCCCTTTTAATATCTTAGTAGTCCCAGTGGGAAAGTAAGGTCAGGGGATTTGCTTTGTTTTTCCACCCAGGGAGACCAGGACGGTTTTTATGTAGGTAAAGGCAAACCAGGCTCTTGGAGACAGCAGGGCTTATGCACGGGGGACCAGGCAGCATTCTGATGGGCTCAGATCTTATCCACATGAGTTTTAATGTTCATGCTGTGTTCTCTGAGACCAGACTGTGTATAGTGTAATCTTTGAACTTCCTTTTTTGGTTGATATGACTTTATTGGGTTATGTGAGTCCCTTGCATCAATAAGGACTTTCAGTTTAAAAAAAATGGTTTAATTTTTTGGGTTTGGGGGCTGCACCCAGCATTATTCAGGGTTTACGTCTGAGTTTTATGCTGGGGGATCACTCCTGGTGGGGCTCAGGGGACCATATGTGATGCCAGGAATTGAACCCAGGTTGGCACCTGCAACACAAGCACCCCTACTGGCTGGACTATCACTCTGACCCTGGGAATTTTTTGTTTGTTTTGTCTTGGATGTTCTTAGGGATCACTCCTGGTTCTGAGCTCTGAATTGCTTTTTGGTTTGGGGGCTGCACCCAGCATTGTTCCGGTCTTACTTCTGACTTTTAAGCCAGCAGATCACTCCTGGTGGGGTTCAGGGGACCACATGGGGTGCTGGGGATTGAGCCTGGGTCAGCCCCCTCTCCGCTGGACTATCTCTCTGGCCCCAGCCCTGAGATTATTTTTATTTATTTATTTATTTATTTTTGGCTTTTTGGGTCACACCTGACGGTGCTCAGGGGTTACTCCTGGCTCTGCACTCAGAAATCACCCCGGCGGTGCTCATGGGACCCTGTGGAATGCTGGGAATCGAACCCAGGTCGGCCGCATGCAAGGCAAACGCCCTACCCGCTGTGCTATTGCTCCAGCCCCTGAGATTATTTTTAACGGAAATGTCTAAGCATGCCAGTTACAGAAACTATTGACTAGGGTTAGCTCCTTTGTTTAGCTCTTCTTAAAACGTCTCTTTTTAAGGGTTTTAAGCCACACCTGGCAGTGCTCAGGGGTTACTCCTGGAGGTGCTTGAGGAATCCCGGGATGCCAGGGATCAAGTCTGTGTCAAGCCCATGCAGGGCAAAGACCCCGCTCTCTGTGCTGTGTCTCCAGCCCCGAACGTTCTGTTTTTGGGGTCTGTGTTTGGGGCCACCGCTGCCAGCGCTCGGGTGTTGCTCCCGGTCTGTGCTGGTGGGGCTCAGCCCTGCCTCCCAAGGCAGAGCATGTACCTGGTCTGTTGGGCTAGCACTCTGCTCCTGTTCGTTGCGTTTCTTTTTCTTTTTTGGTAATATTCCAGAAGTTTCCCGCACTGGAGAGTGTTGCTAAAAAGCCGAGTTTCCCAGGTCTGTTTGACCAACCATGCCCCTTTAAGAGAGTCGACTGTTCCGTGCACTCACCTGGAAGCCTGTCTTCTCTGAGAGAGCAAACGGTACCGTCCAGTTGGACCCAGGGCTGCGACTGTGTCTCTCTCATTGTCCTTTCAGTGCCCCCACCCAGACAAAATCACTACTCTCAAGCGAATTTTTTAATTTTGACACCCACTCAGGAAACTGCAAGAGTTAGACTATAACAAGCTTTGCCTAAGAAGCAGATGTTCCTCCAGAAGAGGTTGGCACTTGGACAGCGCCTGACGCCAGAGGCCTCTGAGCTGGCCTGCAGGGTTGGTGAAGGGAGTCTCAGGCCCGCCGAGCAGAGCCGGCTCAGGAGGGCCTTCTGGGCCGAGACGGGCAGTCACTGGCCGCAGGAGACAGGCCGAGCCCGGGCCCGGTGGCCAGGGAGTGTCCTCAGCGCGGGAGATGGGCTGGGATGTGACCTCCGGTGGAGCTCAGGCCTTGCAGGTGTCTGGCCAGGGGCTTGAGTCCCAGGACCAGGGAGATCGCTTGAAGGCCAGAGGGATTCAGGGGTCCCCGAGCACTGCTTCGGGAGGCTGTTCCTGTGGCCCCTCCCCAAGAAGCTAGCATAAGGGGACGTGTGGCTCTGTTTGAGCCTCGATTCTAATCTCCGTTGCGGGTATTCCTCCAGAGATGACTTGCACAATCGAGAAGGCCCTGGCCGATGCCAAAGCCCTGGTCGAGCGGCTGCGGGACCATGACAACGCGGCAGAGTCACTGATCGAGCAGACCACGGCGCTCAGCAAGCAAGTGGAGGCCATGAAGCGGGTGGGCACTTGCCTTCCTCGGCTCCAGCTTTCCAAGAGGCTCGTGTCTGTGTCGCGTGAAGTTTATATGTGCTCGATTGGTGGTTGTCTCTTTGAACTTCCTCTGAGCTTCCTAAGTAGCCGCAGTGAGAGGTTTTCTTTGGGGGGGAGAAGAATGTGATTTTCAGGGGTGGAGTGAGAGTACAGCGGGGGGCGGGGGGGGGCACTGGGCCTGTCCCCTGAGCGCAGAAGCAGGCGTAAGCCCCCCGCACCTACTCATGTGGCCCCAAAACAGAACCAACAGCAAGTTTTGGAAAAGATCCGGACACATTCGAGCCATCGCAGACCGTAGATGGGAACGTCGGTGGCAGAGCTGCTTTGGCAAGTGTTCTGCACAGCCTCAAAACAGTCACAGGGGGCTGGAGAGATAGCACAGCGGGGAGGGCGTTTGCCTTGCACACAGCTGACCCGGGTTCGATTCCCAGCATCCCATATGGTCCCCTGAGCACTGCCAGGAGTAACTCCTGAGTGCAGAGCCAGGAGTAACCCCTGTGCACTGCTGGGTGTGACCCAAAAAATAGCAAAAAAAAAAAATAACCCAGTCACAGAATTTTTATTGTTATTTGGGGCCACATCTGGCTGTGCTCAGAGTTTACTCCTGGTTCGCTCTCGGGGGTCGCTCCATGGGAATTGCGGCACCATCCAGGGTGCTAGGAGTCAAACCAAGTCCCCGACTTGCTGGACTCTCTCTTCTTGCCCAGCTGATGTTTTTATGATTAAGGTCATTCTGGCAGTTGGGAAGTTTTATTGCATCGTTCCATTAAATTGGTTTTTACTCAAAGTGTTAAGCATCTTTTTAGGAGTTTATTTCTTTTCTTTAAAGAAGTGTGCCCTTTGGTTTGAGGGCGGGGGTTTCACCCAGCTCTGCTCAGAGCTTACACCTGGCTCTGCACTCGGGGATCACTCCTGATGGGGCTGGTGTGCAAGGCAGACTCCGTTCCCCACTGGGCTGTTCTGCGGCCTGTGGGAAGTATGTCTCTAAAGCGTTTTCCCTCTCAAGCTTGTATAACTGACATATTATCCTTTGCAAACTAAAGGTGTGAAGCTGATAATTTGATGCAGGTATATGTTGGAAAGTGATTACCGCAGTAGGGTTAGCTAACACACCCGTTGATTTACGTCTGTGTGGATGATACTATTTAAGACCAACTCCAGCCAGAGTATTTGATTAGTTCTTCAAAACGGAACTCTCCCACCTTCGTTTGAAGTCTGTGGAACGTGAGGCTAGGACACAGTCCTTATGGTGATCAGAGAAACAGGTGGAAGGGAGGGAGAGGCAAGTGCGTCCCTGTGAAATAAGCTCTGAATTTCACAAGTCAGCTGCTCTCCTAGCCCGTTCTATGACCTGAAAGCATACACGTACCACAGACTTAAATATTTTCTCTCCTCGTGTCCGTTTTCAATCTCCGTCCTAGTATCAGGAAGAAATTCAGGAGCTGAACGAAGTAGCAAGACATCGCCCACGGTCCACGCTGGTCATGGGGATCCAGCAGGAAAACAGGCAGATCAGAGAGCTGCAGCAAGAGAACAAAGGCAAGGCGCGTTTCCACTCCCCAGGCAGAGCCAAAGAGAGAACCGGAATCTGCAGCGGGTACTTTCGAAAACGGGAAGACGGCAAGCTGAAGTTTGCCTCGGAGTTCATGCCGATTCCGTTTCCCTGTCGCGTTCGTTCCTTCTTCCTTGTTCTAACCTCCATGTGAATGTTCGCCTGGCGTCTGGGATTCCCGCCCTCGGCCCCAGTCCGTGCGTGTTGTCCTGCTCGGCGGCCCCAGCCGTGGCTTTCCCGCTGGCCCGCACTGTCCCGTCTGCGGTTCTCTGTCCCTGCCGCCTCTTCCCCAGCCCATGCTCATTACAGGCGTCAGACTGATTTTCAGAACTGCATTCCATCATGTTTTTGCTTTGGAACTTTCCTGCGGGGCCAGAGAGCTAGTCCAGTGGGTCAGCACCCTGTATGCGCCCCTGGGATCCCGGCACGCAGCCGGGGTCACCTAGACGCCCAAACTCCTGTTCTTGGCGCAATGGTTCCTGCGGCCGCCTTTCCCATTCCAGATGCTTTGTAGGTCTTTATTCCACGGAACGCTGGCGCCTGTCCTCGGTGCGGGTCCCCGAACACTCCCCCCAGCAGCCGGGCTCCAGCTTGGTGCCCTCCTTACCGCTTTCTTCTCTTCTCCACCTTTTTCTCCTCTGGTTTTTGGTTTTGGGGGGTTGCTGGGGGGCTGGCCACACCTGCAGTGCTCAGGGCTTGCTCCTGGCTCTGCACTCAGGGATCACTCGTGGAGGGCTGGGGGACCATACGGGGTGCTGGGGGTGGAACCCAGGTCAGCGACAGGCAAGGCGAGCGCCCTCCCCACTGTCCTCTCACTCGGCCCCAGCTGCTGGGGGTGGGAGCAGCGCCCCTTTTTGCACCCAGACGCCAGGATGAGCTGCTTGCCCGACTGGTCTCTGGCTCCGTATCTCGTGGTGTTTCGACTAGAGACCATTGTCCGATCACTGTTGCTCAGTAAATGTTTGTTGAAGTGATTCTCAAAAAAGCATTGAAAATGGTCATGGAAGGAACTGACAGACAGTCCCGTTTGGTGTTCCTGATTTCTGTATGGCTACATTTTCCATGTAATGTTTTTGTCTTCAAACTCCCCGTTTAGGCCAGGGGTGTGGCCCAGGGGCCGAGTGTGTGCTTCGCAGGCGGGGGCCCTGGCTTCGGGCCCAGCACATCCCTGAAGCATTTTCGAGACCATCTCTTGTCCCCTTCCCTGTCCTTGTGCCCAGGGGCTGCACCCATCCTCGGCTGTGGAGCTCACACACATACGATGCCTTGTGTATAGTTTGTAATAGATGTGGTGTGGAAGAGAACGACTTAACTCACTTGAATAAAATATACTGTTACTCTTGATAGAATTACGTACTTCCCTAGAAGAGCATCAGTCTGCCTTGGAACTTATCATGAGCAAGTATCGAGAGCAGATGTTCAGGCTGCTAATGGCAAGCAGAAAGGATGACCCAGGTATAATAATGAAGTTAAAAGAGCAGCACTCCAAGGTAAGCCGTTCTGCGGCTCTGATACGGGGCGGAACAGAGGGGCCGCTGGGTCACTCGTGTTCTTTTTATTTGATTGCGGACATCTGACTTCATATCTGTCACTGGTTGCTTCATCTCTTTGACATTTTCTGGTGTCCTCATTTTACTCATTTCTTGTTCTATATCATTTACTGTTGTTTTTTTCTTTTAACTCCCATTTTCCCCTAGTAGCCTTAATGTATTTTATAAAATAAAATTTATTTGGGAAGTAAGGCTAAGTGTTCACTTCAAACTAATTTTTATGTGGGTATTTGTTTTTAAGAAACCTTTCTGATTTGGTTTTTTTTTTTTTTTGCTTTTTGGGTCACACCCAGCGATGCTGAGGGGTTACTCCTGGCTCATGCACTCAGGAATTGCCCCTGGCGGTGCTCAGGGGACCATATGGGGTGCTGGGAATTGAACCTGTGTCGGTCATGTTGGCTGCGTGCAAGGCAAATGCCCTACCCGCTGTGCTATTGCTCCAGCCCCTCTGATTTGTATTTTGATGTTGTAAAATTTTGAAATGCTGAAACTTTCTTAAAACTCTGAGGTAGCTAAGTGTAGATTTTTTTGTTCTGAAGCTAATTACCCAGATTCTTGCCTTTTGAATATAATAGAAAGGAACCAGTCTACTAAATTTTTGGCCTCTCTGCCCAAAACATGTATTGGTTAACACCATTTTATAAGACAACGGAACCAGTTAGGGGCCAGTGTTTTTTCCCCACCGTTCATCTGACGTGCCTGCATCCCCATGTCTGTGGTTTTACTGTTTGGCCCATGTTTGCTACAAGTTCTTTTTTCTATTTTTATTGAACTAGAAACTGAATTTAACTCCTGACACGAAATAAAAGTATCAGAACTGACTCATCTTTCTCAATTATTTAAAATGCTTTTTCTTTTTGGGCTTTTTTGGGCCACACCCGGCAATGCTCAGGGGTTACCCCCGGCTCTGCACTCAGGAATTACTCCTGGCATGCCAAGGATCGAACTCGGGTCTGCCCCATGCAAGGCTGATGCCTTCCCCACTGTACCGTCACTCTGGCTCCCACATTTAAAGTCTAAAATGTTTTTTCTAGTAAATCTCAGTGCCATAATATTTTTTTTCAAACAGCAACAACAACCAGCTGAGTCTTGTGGATGTCAGTTGGGTTAGAGCGCAGGTGCTCGGGCACAAGGGCCCGGATTGGGTCCCTAGCCCTGTGGCCCCTGCCCCAGCAGGACGGGGTCACGCGGCCCGTTTGGCAGGGTGTTGCTGAACGTCCCCCAGACCACTGCCTGGGAGGCTCCCCAGAGGAAAATATTTCTTCTGTCTTAGAAATTGGTATCCGAAGCCTTGTGCCAAGTGGGAATGTAATAATGGCTGTTTAATGTAACCCACTTAAGCAGTTCATCTCCTAACCTAAAGGTAGCCTGTGTATTTGAGTGGGAATCATCTGAGCATAAAATTTATCTGCTGTTAATAAGGCTTACAAAAGCATTTTGGTTTAAACTGTGGGTGTTTTTTAAGATACAAAGATTAATTTACTTAGTACAGCGGGTAAAGCTCTTGCCTTGCACACGGCCAACCTGGGTTCTATTTCTGGCAATTTCTCCCAGCCCACAGGTATGATCCCTGAGTACAGAGCCAGGAGTAACCTCTGAGTGCCACCAGGTGTCGCCCCAAAATGCTAATAATAATAATAATATAATTAATTGACTTAAGGTACAAAGATTAATTGACTTAAGTTGGTAAAATAAATCTAATCTTAGGAAACTCAAAATGACCTTCTGTTCAATAACTTAAGAAACAGATATATTAAGCAGTAGAGAAAAGACACCCTGACTAAACATTATTTTTACAATTTATTCATCAGAGCTGGTAAAGTGAAACTTTCTTAGGATGTCAACCATCATATTTCCCTTAAGTAGATTGAAATTTTCATGTAAGTGCTGGTCCTTGCCCTTCATAGAAGTGACTACTGAATTACTTGTTATTAATTCTAACTAATACATATCAATGTTTGTGATTTTGATTTTTCCCAAAAAGGAGACATTTCAGTTCAATTACAAACTCATTGCCACCTACACTGGCGTAATTCTCATTATCACAAGGTGCGTGAATGAATGAATGGGTCCCACCACTCGGCCACCCGCACTTGGAGTGTGGTGGGTGACAGACGCGGACCCAAGGGTCTGGTGTCAGGTAGCCAGTGATAGAGCCCCAAGCCGAGGTGGCGAGTTACTGCCGGCCTGGCGGGGGCGCAGAATCGGTGCTCGCAAAAGGAAGGGTCCGAAAAAGGAAGAAAACCTCTCCTGATCCGGCTTTGAGTTCACGCGGGGAAGCTGTGAGGATGGAGGGAGATTCCACCCTGCGTGTGTGTCAGGAGCCCCCGCGCGCCTGCTCGCAGGGGCCTTTGTGCTAACAGCATGTTGGAGGAAAAGATCTTTTGGGATGCGGTGGCCGAACTTGCCCCCACTAGAGGTTTTAGAGCCCACGTTTAAGTCATTGAATCATTCGGATAAGCCATTCTCATCCAAATATTGGTTTCTACGATATTTTTGAAGAGACAGACGCCTTTTTGGAAATGTTAAAAGAACAAACATTCCAACCAGTTGGCTAACACGCATGAACTAACCCTCGTTGACGCTCGCGGATGCCGGCTGCTGTCCGTATTAACATTGTGATGGCTCTGTGCTACAGATTGACATGGCCCACCGTAACAGCCCCGGAGGGACCTTCCTCGATGCATCCCGACACATCCTGGAAGCACCCCAGCACGGACTGGAGAGGAGGCACATGGAAGCGCATCAGAATGTACACGGACTCAAACGCTCACTCGGGGGTGTGGGCGGAGAGGGACAGTTTTAGACGTTCCTTGGCACGGAGTTTTTCTCCCAGATCAGCTCAGGAAGTGAAATAGTTTCCAAGAATGCTTTCAGTATCCGTGCCAAAACAGTCGTGTAGAAACTTGCAGTCTTGTCCTCATTTTGTGTGTGTAACACATTAACTGGAGATGAGGAGACTTTTAATCCCACTAAAGTCATGTCTTGGTTTTGGGGCCAGAGAGATCATATAATAAGGTGCTTCCACATTTGATGTAGTTTAAAGTAGGAGGCAACCAATCTTGGAGGGAAATATTTTATATATATATATATATAGAGAGAGAGAGAGAGAGAGAGGGAGTGTAAATTTTGGGGCTGGAGCAATCGCACAGCGGGTCAGGTGTTTGCCTTGCATGCAACCAACCCAGGTTCGAAATTCCCAGCATCCCATAGGGTCCCCTGAGCACCACCAGGAGTAATTTGGGCTGGAGCGATACCACAGTGGGGTAGGGCCGACCCGGGTTCAATTCTTCCACCCCTCTCAGAGAACCCAGCAAGCTACCTAGAGTGTCCCGCCCACCCGGCAGAGCCTGGCAAGCTCCCCATGGTGTATTCGATATGCCAAAAACAGTAACAAGTCTCACAATGGAGATGTTACTGGTTCCCGCTCAAGCAAATCGATGAACAATGGGAAGACAGTGCCATAGTGTACTTCCTGTTCGAGAGCTGTCAGTTGGGGGAGTGGAAGGAAGGCACTCCTGCGTTGCTCAGGGCTCCGGCTGGTTCTGTGTTGGGGGGACCCAAGGGGGCCAGCTGTGTGCAAAGCAAGTGCCTTAGCTCCTGCACTGCATGTCTCCAGCCCGAGGTGGCAGCGTTTCATCTCGTTGCTGTGTTAGGGGTTGCCAAAAGCCCGTAGTAAGCTTCAGGGGCAGGCTACTAAAAGTATCCTCCCCACACGGCAGTCTGGCGAACTCCCCGTGGCGTATTCAGTGTTCCAAAAACCAGTAACTACGATGGGTCTCGTTCTCCTGACCCTGAAAGAGCCTCGAATGTGGCACTTTCTAAAATCTTAGGGCTAGGGCGAAGGAGACGTCACTGGGGCCTGCTCGAGGCAATCGATGAACAACAGGATGACAGTGATACAGTGAAGCTTCAGGGGCAGGGAAATAGCTGAGACACCAAGTGGGCGTGCTTTGCACTCAGGAGGACAGGGCCAGTCCATTGTTGGGGACCCTCAAGTCCACAGAGAGTGGCCCCTGAACTGGAAAGAAAATCCCGGTGAGCTCTACACAGTAGTTGTCTCATTGCGCCTGAACTGAGAAATAAAAGCTTAGCTTTACGTAGTCATTCTGTAACTGCATATCAAGTGATAATGAAGTGGATTTTTTTTAATTGTTGTTTAATCCGACCAACTAAATGGGCGATTTTAAATCACATTGAGAATTTGTAGTCCTTTAGATGTCTTAACACAAAGTTTCAAATGTCTTTTTTTCACCCAGCCTTTTGCAAGGTCGTAGTTCACTTCTCATTTTCTTTTTTAATCTTGGTTGTGGTAGGTCTCTACTAAAGTTGACGTAAACCTTAGCAGAAATTATAAAAGAAAAGCATTTCACAACACCGCTAGGGTTACGCGCAGCCATTTCTTTTGGGCAGTTTTGGAAGCACAGGTCTTGGTCGAAGGCTCGCTGAAAGGTCTGTGGTCCTTCCCGTGAGGGCTTATTGTAGCTCAGGGTGAGTCACCTGTGAGCTGGGCCTATAAACTCTCCGCTCTTTGAGGCACCGGGTTCTTTTCCTCGTGATCATTTTATTAGAAGACTCGTTAAGGAAAAAAGTAGCGCGGAGCGTCTTACTACCCTCTGTTTGAAAATGAAAGAACTTCAGGCTCCTGCCTGGTCTTTGACTTTAATCAGTGCCCTAGGGCACGGGTCATAAGCCGAGCGGGCTGCAGAGTGGAGGGGATTCTGCTTGGCTGCTTGGTGGGAGATCCTTTGGCCACATGTGGTCACTCCCCGCAGGGCCCCGGGTCTCTCCCGGGCCTCCGGGCGGACGTCTTACTCCACACCCTGCTCTGGTTGCCGCTACAGAGATCAGGATGCCTTACCAGCGGGAGAGATTTCATCCATTAACTGCTGCAGTATTTAATGTTTGTCTTCATACAGTATTGGGGACCGTAACGTAAAAAAGTGTTGCCACTTTGAACTCTGACATGAAGGCAGTACTCTTTTTTTCCCCCCTCCCTTTGGGTCACACCCGGCAGTGCTCAGGGGTTCCTCCTGGCTCTGCACTCAGGAATTACTCCTGGTGGTGCTGGGGGGATCGGAAGGGGTGCTGGAGATTCCACCTGAGTCTGCTTCGTGGAAGGCAAAGGCCCTACCCGCTGTACGATCGTTCTGGCCCTCGAAGGCCGCCTTTCTGTCTGCCGTCCACCAGAAGCCACCAGCTACAGGTTGCCGCTGAGCATGTGAAGGGTCACTGGTGCTGCTGAGGGCGAGATAGTTAATGATTAAAAAGTCTATGCTCGGGTCCGGGGCCAGAGTACAGTGGTAATGCGTCCCCTGATCACCGCCCAGAGCAGTTCCTGACTGCAGAGCCTGGAATAGGGAATGACGCCTGAGTGTCACCAGGTGTGACCCAAATGCTAAAAAAATTAGGTATCCGATCTTAGTTACGTTGAATTAGTTTAAACTTACAAGATCGTTTTCTTCAAAGAAAGCACTTTATCAGCACAGACCAGTCCCTGCTTTTCATCTTCCTGCGCACTAGCATCGGAGAGGTACGCTCGCATCCCCCATCAGAGGGATGTCAGGATCTCCAGCCTGTCGGCGAAGCCATGCGAAACGTGATGCTCACTAAAGATCTTCCTGTAGTTTTACAGTCGGGGAGGTTTTGGAGGATTCAGATACTTTCTACAAATGAAGTATTTGAGCGTAAGCAAGTACTTAAAGAGGTTTAATGTTGGTGGAACTATTCCGTGTTCAGGTTTTGACCTTAATAAAATAACCCTCAGTTGCCGTAAACAATAGTCTGTGGTAGGAATTCACTGGAAAAAAGAAAATTATTCTCAGGGTCAGAAATAATAGCTCAGAGGTAGAGCACATGTATACCTCATATGTCTGAGGTCCTGGTCAGTACCTGGTGTCAAAACAATGCCCGCCTTACTGGCCTTGTACTTGGCCTATTCAGGTTCAGTCTCCGACACGATATAGCCCCTTAAGTCCTGCCAGCAGTGATCCCTGAGCACTGCCAGGTGTGGCCAGAACACAACAAAAACCCAGCCCGTCTCAGTCCTATTCTCAGATTTCTGCTGTTGAACCTTTTTGTCTCTGTCACCTGACAAGGCTCTTTGAAATCAGGGAAACATGTTGAAAGGCTTTCTTTTCCTGCTAGCTTACACAGTGCCTAACACATTGTACACAAGTAAAATAGACCAACAAATGTGGTCTATTTTTTACTGAAATCATATTGTCAACAGTTGTGCAAGAAGGGCTTTGAATATTTGAATATTTTAAAGCGGAGCTGTTCTGCACGCCGAATAATTTAACACATAAATAAGATCGAATTTCCACTCTCCAAATATAAGTGATCATAAACTGAAGAAGGTGCTAGATCTGGCTCAGGACCAATTTTTAGGATGGAATACAGAAAAGATTTGTAATTCATGAAGACTTCACCAAGGGAAAGATAGAACGTGTCGGCCGTTTTCCGTCTTTCCCATTTCTTGGATGAGAGGGATATATCGGAGCAGAAAAACAGGGAAGTGCTTTTCATTTGTTGCGAAAGGAATGTGAAGTCTGAGTATTACGTTGCTAGGGGGCCGAGTTATATCGTGCTCATATCTTAATCCTGGAGGAAATCAAATCTCCGTGCATATCCGTGATTAGGTTCCTTCTCAGAAATGTTAATAGAGTTCATCCGTACTAAGTGCCGTGCAGGTTGTGTAGAAAGGAGAGGATCCCAGAAGTAAGATCCATCAAGCGCCTCGCCGATCCTCAGCGCCCGCCTCTTTCTTCCCCCACCAGGAGTTGCAGGCGCATGTTGACCAGATCACGGAAATGGCCGCCGTGATGAAGAAGGCCATCGAACTCGACGAGCAGCAGGGCTGCAAGGAACAGGAGCGGATATTCCAGCTGGAAGTGAGTTCCGTGGAAACTGTCAGTACCGAGGTTTATGCAGGAAAATGCATCCCGCCTGTAGAGCATACACGTGTGGACACGGATACGAATGTCTGCACACATTCTCTGTAGTGTGAAGGCTGGTGGGGTGTTTTCCCCACCTGGACGCATGTCTGGTCACGCATGGTCTGTGTCCATTCCTCACGAAGGTACTGAGAAAGTGGACTTAAGATTTTTTTTTTTTGGCTTTTTTTGGGTCACACCGGATGATGCTCAGGGGTTACTCCTGGCTCTGCACTCAGGAATTACTCCTGGCGGTGCTCAGGGACCATATGGGATGCTGGGAATCTAACTTAAGTCAGCTGCGTGCAAGGCAAACGCCCTCCCCGCTGTGCTATCGCTCCAGGCCCCCAGAATTTCTTTATTCCATAGACATTACACTGATGCACTTGTGATAGCTTCATCTGTAGTAATATTTGGATGCTCGTTTTTCTGAGGATCCTAAAAGCTTTTCTCTGGGCCAGAGTGACAGTACAGCGGGTAGGACACTTGCCTTGCACGCCGCTGATCCGGGTTCCATCCCTGGCCTCCCATATCGTCCCCGAAGCACCACCAGACGTGATTCTTGAGTGCAGAGCCAGGAGTGACCCCTGATCATTGCAGGGTGTGCCCCCCCCCCCAAAAAAAAAACAAGAAGCTTTTATCTCATCTATCCTTTATCTTGAAGTGGTAAAGTTACTGCAGAGGAAATCAGGAGAGTTAGAAGGGTTGTTGTGAGATTTATCAAAGACTAGTACTAATTTTTCTCTAAATGTACAGTGTTCTCTCATTCTTTCAGTAAAATATTTACTATTTCTGATAGTGTAGGCTTTATCAGCGGTTCACTGTTGCAGCTGCTTAAACATTGCACAAAAGCAGCCAGACATTTTTTGACTTTTTTACTGAATCACTTTGAGATAGAACTTACAGGGCAGTTCATGATTGGATTTCAGTCGTAAGTTTTCCAACTCCCATCCCGCCACCAGGATGTATTTCCCAACACCAAAGCCCCCAGGTTCTCACCCGTCACCCCCTACCCCTTGTCTGCCTCAATGGCAGGCTCTTTCCCTCCCTCCCCCTTTCCTCCCCCCCCCCCCCGCCACTGCCCCCACTTTTTTGGGCATTGTGGTTTTCCGTGTTGATATACAACTAAACTTTTTTTTTTTTCCTTTTTGGGTCACACCCAGTGATGCACAGGAGTTACTCCTGGTTCATGCACTCAGGAATTACTTCTGGCGGTGCTCGGGGGACCATATGGGATGCTGGGAATCGAACCCAGACTGGCTGCGTGCAAGGCAAACGCCCGACCCTCTGTGCTATCGCTCCAGCCCCCCACAACTAAACATTTTTAAAAGGAGTTTGGGCTTCACTCTGTTCCAGTGAGATTTAGTTTGTAGTAGCGGACTGCCGGCTGTATACCATTGAGACGCAGAAATTAAGAGGGAAGACAGAGTGGCTGAGATTAATTATCAGATTGTTCCTGAGTGTCTGCAGAAGGGAGGAGGGAGGGGAAAACTCTTTCCCCGGGCTGGTCTTGGTCGCTGCTTTGCGTGGAACACGGGTGCCTGCCCCTCCGAGGGAGGCCAACGCGTGTCCTCAGGGGGCCCCACCCAGGCCGTGCCCCCTGTCCCTCCCGGTTGTGACTGAGGGGGTCCGGGTCTGTCCTGCGCCCGAGTCCTGGGCCCTGCAGCTCGCTGGGCTTCCGTGCACTGGACTTTCTTGTCAGAAGTGTGACAGAGTCTTTCTTTTTGTTTGCCTTGTAGCAAGAGAACAAAGGCTTGAGAGAGATCCTTCAGATAACTCGGGAGTCCTTTCTGAGCCTCCGCAGAGACGAGGGGCCGGAGGGCGTGTCGGGGCTGTCCCCGCTGGTGACCGGCAGTGACCTGCGTCTTCGAGAGAGCTAGGACACCGCTGTGGGCAGGGCACTGGCACGGGCGGTCTGCAGCGAGTCTTTCAAAGCCACGATGCCGGCACGTCACATACCCCCAAACCTTCGAAACGTAGAAGCTGCACCTTTGGGCCCTGGTGGTCAGCTGAACGCGGCCGGAGCCCTCAGCATCCCCGTGGGTGTCCTGGATACGTGAATAAATGTGAATCTCCCCTGCAAGTGGATGGAAGTCCATAAAATTAACCCTCCCTAAAATAAAACGTGGCCGCGGTTTTATGAATGGAAGATCTTCGTGCTGGCGTGTATCCTTACTCGGTGTCAGAGGCGGCCTCGAGAGTGTGGACCACGTGACTCTGCCTGTGACGATTGCCTGTGTACTGGCCCATTCCAATTTGTGTCGAAAGAAAATTCCATTTTAGAGACTTTAGAAAGGCATACGTACCTTAAGGGGTGTCTTCATTTTGACTGATCTGTTAAAAGACTCGGTTAACAATTGTCAACAGCCGACTTAAGGATATGAGATATTTCAGGAATGAAAGAGAAGGAATACTTTCTAAGAAAGAAGATCTTTGATGTAGTAGGTTCAACTACTCCTTTGCAAGAATAGGTTTGGTTCTCTGCTTGAAATTTAAGGATGTTTTGCAGCTGGGCTAGCTAACAGAATTGTAATGTTTTATCTAGAAAGTTACAGTAATTTCAAAATGCTTCAGCTCATAGAACCTCTCTACCCCTCTCTCCCCCTCAAAAGTAGCAAGGTAACAAAAATCACCTTGCTAATATGGGGGAAATAAGTTAAATTTTTAGAAATTGGGGGTGCACACCTGACAGCACTCAGCATGGCTCCTGGTGGGGTCCCGGGAGGATTGGACCCTGGCTGGCCTGGAGGAAGGCAAGCGCCCCACCTGCCGTTCTGTTGCCTGGCCCTCAGGATCTGTCCTAAGCTTCACCTGGTCCTCAAAACCTATCAAAAGGAAAAAAGGATTTTTCAGCATTTATGCTTACCAAAATCTATATCCAGGGCCGGAGAGGTAGTACAAAGCTCTTGCCTTGCACAAAACAGGCTGGTTGATTCCTGGCACCCCAAGCAGTTCCCCAGGGCCCCACCAGGAATGATCCCTGAGCACCACTGGGTGCAGTCAGAAAGGATACCGAGTGTGCAGAATCTTTTAATTCCCCAGAAATAGAAACGTGCTTTAACAGTAGTGAAATCTAACATCTGGCTCTAATTTAGAAGGATATTTGTAAAAGTTACCACTATAGAGAAATTTTGCTTTTGTGTATATAATTTGTTAAATATTTCACAAGGTAATTTCTATGTATAATTTCGTATCTTCGTAAAACTCCTTTTCACTTCAGAATTTTTCTAACCGGTTAGGGGTGAGTGGGGGTTGGGGCTGATGGCCCAGACATGAAGCTGAGTGTTTTTTTCTCATTCAGAGGCCTTAATTGGTATTTTATAATGACGGTTCTTGTTTCTAAACTTTTCTATTAGTTTTTTTTTTGGGAAAGTACCCCCTAATTTGACAGCACATTCATCTATATGGGTTTTAAACCCGTCAGCATAAAAACAAGCTACATAGTTGAGAGTTACGTCCAAGACAATTCATTGAGGCACCTTTATTATAAGATAGAAAACATTACTTGATAATTATTTTTGTAAACGAATAGGTTAATTTATTCTTGGTCTTGCTTGGTGTTTAAAGATGTTTACTTTGTTATATGGTGACTCTTTGCCATCCCATACTTTTTTTTTTTAAAGCAGAACCTTAAATTTGTGTCTGAGAGTATGTACTGAGTAGGAGCTCATTTCATCAATAAAGACGAGGTCACAGTTGGCGTGGTCTTGAGTTCATACGAAACTGCACGTATCTTTGTTTTTAGGGATTTCAAATCTGTTTTTAGTTCTTGGCGGTTTGTTTTGGGCTGCGCTCTGGGCTTGTGTCCGCGTCTGGAATTGCTCCTGGCGATGCTTGGGGACCACATGGGGTGCTTGGGGGTCAAACACGGGCCTTCCTGTCACTCGGGCCCTTACCGGCTAACTGCACGGGACAGTGCTTAGCAATGACCTCTGTGCTTGTGTCTTAGAGACTGGCCAGCAGCCCTTCGCCAGTCCTGCGGATCTCGACCTCTGGAGGGCCAAATGTGCCCCGTGCTCGGTGGGCAGGTCCTGACCAGCTGTGACCCGCTGTGAGCTCTACCGAGGGGCTCGGGAAAACTTGTGGATATGCCGGGCCCTGGCTCTGGCGGCGTTTTTAGAAAGGAGACTGAAACATGGAGGAGAAAGTCGGGTGAAGACTGGAGTTCTGCAGGCACAAAACCCTGAGTGCTGTGCTGCCACGGGCAGCAGGGGGAGGCGTGGTGTGGGGGTCCCTGCTGCCTGCTGCAGAGGGGCATGTCGAAGCTCAGCTGGCCTCCAATAGCAGGCGACTGCAGGCGACTGCTGGATCTTGTATTCTGTACTGTCCAATAGCGGGCGACCTCCCAGATCTTGTAGTCTAAACTGTCCAGTAGGGGCCGGAGCAATAGCACAGCGGGGAGGGCGTTTGCCTTGCACGCACTCGACCCGGGTTCGATTCCCAGCATCCCATATGGTCCCCTGAGCACCGCCAGGGGTAATTCCTGAGCGCAGAGCCAGGAGTAATCTCTGTGCATTGCGGGGTGTGACCCAAAAAGCAAAAAATAAAAATTTTAAAAAAAATAAACTGTCCCAATAGCAGGCGACTGCCCGGATCTGGTATTCTAAACTGTCCAATAGCAGGCGACTTTCCAGATCTTGTATTCTAAACTATCCAATAGCAGGCGACTGCCTGGATCTGGTAGTCTAAACTGTCCCAGGTGAGGTTTTTGGGAGGTTTTAGAGCTCCTCCTGCTCGCAGCCTCCATTTCAATCCCTGGGAGGCCATACTGTCGCCCCCACCCCCTTCCAGTGTCCTGCCAGGAGTGGGTCCTGAGCACTGAGCCCAGAGTAAGCCTAAATAAATAAACTTCCTGCAGGGATAGGAGAGCACAGGTTCCAAACAATTCTTGGTGAGCATCGCGTTTTCCCTCCTCCGGTGCTGGGAATTGAATTCTGGTTCCCACACATCTGAGACGGGCACTGTTCTGCTGAGCCCCAGTCATGCCCTGATTGCCTTTTTTGACAGAGTAGAACAGGACATTTTCACATTTATGTTTTGGAGAGGAAGGGTTGGGTCATACCCGGCAGTGCTCAGGGGTTACTCCTGGTGGTGCTGGGACACCCTATGGGATGTTGGCCGTGAGCCAGGCAGACGCCCTCCCCGCTGCAGTCTCTCTGGCCCCAGCCCAGAACCGGACATTTGTTAATGAAATGATTCCGTTTCTCACGGAATCAATGGCCCACTCTGTTCCTCCCTCGCTGGACTTCACACCTGTGTGGACGCGCCCAGTCCTGCTTCCCGTCTGTAGTCTGTATCAGTCTCCTGATCTCACTCGATCTCGTGACTGCAAATACTGCCTGGACGCCGCTGGGCACTGCAGTTTATAGCCTGTTAACTCGACTCATCCACTGTGACTAGCCGTGAGTCAGTCGAGTTCCACCAAGCTGGGGCTGAGTCAGGCCCCTCCCCCGCCCTCTGGCCGCAAGGCACTCGGACCAGAAGCTGCCTTGGTATCAGTCCCATCCAGTCCCCTGGCAAATCCCGTTACTGTTGCTCCTACATTCACCCAGACCCTGCCATCTCTCACTCCCTCTACCGCTGCCCCTTGTGAAAGCTACAGTACAGTCAAGAGTGAGCAGATCAGGGGCTGGAGCGACAGCACAGCGGGTAGGGCGTTTGCCTTGCACGCGACCAACCCAGGTTCGATTCCCAGCATCCCATAAGGTCCCCTGAGCACCGCCAGGGGTAATTCCTGAGTGCAGAGCCAGGAGGAACCTCTGTGCGTCGCCAGATGTGACCCAAAAAGCAAAAAACAAAAGAGTGAGCAGATTAAATGGACAATAGGAAAGCAGTCCTCTTTATTCAATGTCGCTAATAATCCATGAGTTACAGCCACCTACTTGGTGCAGTTAGAGACTAGGCTAATTCTAGCTACAGGAAGGAAAAGGTGTGCCCAAAAAAAAGAACTTAATTTGCATACCAGACGCTTTCTAAATTGGGCACTGCCCGTCAGCTATGTCAAGGTAGTGTGCGGCAGAGAAATGCCTAGATGAACAGCCATCCCCGTGTCCTGTGGGTTCCACTGTTCGCCTGAAGGACACTCAGTTGTTACTCTTGGGTATGGGCACGGCAGTTTGCAGGGGTGGGGGCACACCTGGCGGTGCTCAGGGATCACGTGGGATGCCAGACTGTGCCCGGCGAGCACCCTGCCGCTGCACTCTGCCCAGCCTCTGAACGGCATGAAATTTCATTCACCCTTTTCTCCTACTGATGGGTGTTTAGATTTATTAGAGGATTTGCAGTGTGGGGGAGGGGCTCACTGCAGACAGTGCTCAGGCGGCCATGGTGTGTTGGACACTGAAGCAAGGCTCCATCATGCAAAGTCTGTGCTCAGCCCAGGAAGTTCCCGCAGGACCTGTTGGCCGCGTTTGTCAACATAATGCAGGGCTTGGGGCTGGAGCGATAGTACAGTGGGGAGGACGTTGGCCTTGCACACAGCCAACCTGGGTTCGATCCCCGGCATCCCATAGGGTCCCCCGAGCACCCCTAGGAGTAATTCCTGAGTGCAGAGCCAGGAGTGACCCCTGAACATCGCCGGGTGTGACCCCAAACAAAGCAAAACAAAACCCCATAATGCAGGGCTTAATTCAACACCCATTGACGTAGTGTTTGTGCTGTATTGTGCTTCCTGGTGTCTACATTCCCAGAAGCACTAGTTTATGTTCATTTCTATCATCATTTATCTTTTACATAAAGGAAAAGTAAGTGTACTTACTGGGTTTAAAATTCAACATGCATAAAAGTTAGGGAAAAAGTTTAGGAGAGTTCCACCCCTCCTTACCCCCACCCCACCACACACACACACACACACACACACATACACACACACCTGTGCTCTCCTCAAGGTGTATGTTAAACGTTGCTTCTGAGTCAGGAAACCTGTCTAGAGACATTTTAAAAGGACATACAAGCACGATTGGAATCTCAGTGCATGCCAATGGTTCCCACCTTAACTTTTTTTCTCAGCTAATACCATTGGCAGTTCCTTTCTCCATGTGAGGGAAAGGAAAGCAGAGGACCAATTGCTTCAGAGTACACAAAACTATCAGAAAAGTCACTGTTGGGGCTGGAGCGATATAGCACAGTGGGAAGGGTGTTTGCCTTGCATGTGAGTTCAATCCCCAGCATCCCATAAGGTCCCCTGAACACCACTGGGGTAATTCCTGAGTGCAGAGCCAGGAGAAACCCCTGTGCATAGCTGGGTGTGACCCAAAAAGAAAAAGAAAAGAAAAGTCACTGTTGAAATCAGTATCAATATGGGTCAGAGAGAGAGCACGTGACTGCCGGGGTTTGATCCCCAGCACCCTATATGGTCCCCTGAGCCCCATCAGGAATGATCCCTGAGTGCGGAACCAGGAGTCAGCTTTACCCAGAGAACAAAAATGCACTGACCTTGTCACCCAGGACACACTCAGGAGTGGCAGGACTGGCGGGGAGGCCCTCCTCAGGTTGCCGAAGAAGTGGGATGGAGAGAGCTGATTAGCCCCGCGTCTCAGAGCCTGTCTCGTCAGCCTCCTCAGCCCCCAAGCCCAGCACCGTGTTTGCACATGCAGCAGAAGGGTGAGCCCCGACGGGCTCCTTAACTCACTCCAGGACTGCTGGAATGATACTTCAGTGGGCTCTTGCTTGCACACGGCTGACCTGGGCTTCATCTCGGCCACCTCTGATGGTCCCCGAAGCACTGCCAGGAGTGATCCCTGAGTGCAGGGCCAGGAGTCAGCTCTGAGCATCAATAGCTATGGACCCAAAATGTTAAAAAAACAAAACGCAGCCAAAGCTGAAGATCTGCCCATTTTACGAGTTCCGTCCCTAGCTTCGACACTCCTCTGCGTGGTCCTCAACAACCAGAGGCTGAGAAGTGAAGGGCAGGGGTCTCAGACACTCGCTTCCTGAGAATGTGTTCCTGAGAGAGAACAAAAGGGAATGCCCTGCCACAGAGGCAGGGTGGGATGGGGGGGATGAGGGGGATGGGGGTGGGAGGGATATTATCCATGGTGGTGGAAAATGGGCACTGGTGGAGGGATGGGTATTTGATCATTGTATAATCGAAACCCAAGCACAAAAAATCGTAAATCTACTACTGTACCTCATGGTGTTCCACTAATAAAAATTTTAAAAAAAATTAGTAACTTTCTGCATAGCTAAAGAAACTCAACTTAAGAAATAAAAAAAACAGGGGCTGGAGAGATAGCACAGTGGGTAGGGCGTTTGCCTTGCACGTGGCCAACCCGGGTTTGATTCCCAGCATCCCACAGGCTCCTCTGAGCACCGCCAGGAGTAATTCCTGAGTGCAGAGCCAGGAGTAACCCCTGCGCATCGCCGGGTGTGACCCAAAAAGAAAAAAAAAAAAAGAACCTCTTTCTGGGGCTGGAGCAATAGGTAAGTGGGTAAGGCACTTGCCTTGCACACAGCCAACCTCGGCTCAATCCTCGTCATCCTGAGCCCTAAACAGGCATGACCACAGAGCCTGGAGTATGCTCTGAGCACTGCCAGGTGAGACCGCTCCCTCAAAAAAAAAAAGACGAAAAACCTATTTCATTGGCTGTACGACCTCAGTGGTCGTCAGCTTCTAGACATCCATCCAGAGCTGGGCAGCAGGACGTGGGAGATGGGACTGAGGGTTTAGCATCTGCAGGCAGCAGCCCCAGGGTTGATCCCAGGGGCTGCAGGGCCCCTAAGCATTGCCGGGAGTGGCCCCCCGCACCCACACCCTTGCCCGGCACCCAGCTGGGACTAGCTCCTGAGCACGAAACCCAAGCCAAACATGCCCAAACCTCTCAGTGGGGAGGAAACGCCTACTAAGGCACTGAAGCTCAGCAGGCAGCAGGCGTGGAGGGCTGAGTGGCTGCAAGGCCAGGCCTCCCCCTGCACCCCCATAAGCAGAGCCAGGGGGGCCCACCCCGGGAGAGTGGGGCCAGGCAGGCACTACAGGAGAAATGAATGTCGAGGCGACAGCTAATCGTAGGTCCCCGTGTTCTGACACAGCTGCCTGGGAGCAACTATTAAACTCAAAGACGCTGGTAAAACGGAGAAAGAAAAGGACGTAACGCAGCACTCAGAGCAGAAAAGACACAAGCAAGACCATGCACCACTGGGGGACATGGGACAGGCAAAGGTTCTTGCCCGCAAGCTGCTGAGCCAGGCTCCATCCCCAGCACCGCATCTGGTCCCCCCGAACCCCGCTGAGCAAGCCCTGAGCACCACCAGGTGTGGCCAACAGAGACAAAAACAGCAAAGCCAGAGAGCAACCCCTGCCTGGGTCACAGCCAAAGGGAAGGAGAACGGTTTCCAGACCGGCACTCCCGCATGACTTAGGTAGGGAGCACCACCCGGGAGCACCTCAGCGCTGGCACTGGGTGAGATGTGGCATCAGAGCCGCAGGTGAACTCTGGGTTCACTGAGAGCTGGGTCAGTGTGCAAACCCAAAGACTATCCCCCCAGCCCCACCCCCCCAAAAAAAAACACACGCTCACGGTGGAGAGTGCAGGACTTGGGGTTTGGTCCGGGAGTGATTCCTGCAACTTCCCTGCTGGAGTGGGCGAGGCCGCTCTCTGAACTCACCTACTCGCTGCCCTAAGCCCCTCAGCTCAGCCCGGGAGCCAACCTGTCACCAGTTCATCACACCCGCAGGAACTCTCTGGAAAACCAAGACGGAAGCACTAACCACCGCAATCAAGGCCAACGAGCTGTGAGGGGCGCCCAGACCCTCTGGGACCTTCACTGCCCAACGCTTCAGCCATCCCAAAGCAGTTTAAAATAGAACGGGATTGTTTATCTGGAATAAATAATTTTGTCTTTACCATAAACAAAGTTTGTTCTGTCGACTGTCTTATTGCTATGACACAAATTTAATTGGTCAAAAAAATGAGAACTGTAAAAGTTTATGATAACGAGGCCAATGTAGTGTTCAAAATATATATTTATTATAGAAAATGTACACAAGTGCCTTTTGATTACTCACAGATTATCGTGGAAAATTTTAAACAATTTACATACTCCAGAAAACATAAGTTCTGGTTTTCCAATTCCCACTAGGAGGGCATTTTTGATGGTGTACAAGATCCCGGATGTTCTGCTTCACTGTTAAAACATACAAAGATACGGCAGAGGCAAAACATCCAGTCAACTTTTTAAAAACCATTTTCCTTGAAAGCTGTTATCAAAGATCTATAGACAGTAAGAATTACAGAATAGTAAACAAAGACGTGTATATAGTTTTCCAAGCCAAAATTATTGGTTTCTTAATTGTTTTTTTTTTTCAGCCTTTTCCAAACACTTTTCATTTTGCTTTGCTTGATTTTCTTTGGGGGGGGGGGGGGTGGGGACTCCCAGGCAGTGCTCAGGGATCCCATGGGTCAGTCCCTGGCAGTTTGATATCTGGGCTCCATGAGGTGCTGCACAGACCCAGCGGGGTGGGGGCAGGGAGCCTCCGCGGCCGCCCTGGAAGCACTGGGGAGGGGGAGTCATGTACTAGGGATCAAATTCATGTCTGAGCACACGCAATGCATGTGTCCCTGACCACTGAACCACCTCTCTGGCCCCCAAAACACAATTATAAAACAAAGCAGGAACGCGTCCAGTTAACTGGAACCTTTGAAGACACATCTGCTACAGGGCCACTCAGATACGGGGAAAACGTTGCTTACATCCGAGCTGGCAGCACTGGAGCAGAAAGGATGGGGACTTTTTTTTTTCCTTTTTTTTTAATAATTTTATTTATGAACCACCATTAGAGCAGTATCAAAGCTTTCGGGTTTAAGTCTCGGTCATACCATGAAACACCCGTACCTTCACCAGTGCCCACTCTCCACTCCCAAAACCCCAGTATACCCCCATCACACACCCTCCCTCTACCTGTGGGGGAGATGACTTCCACATGACTCTCTCTCTACTTTGATCACACTCAATATTTCGACACCAGACCCACCATTATTATTTGGGATTTTACCCCAACACTTAGATCTGCCAAAAAGGCAACAGTAGACAATTTGTTTTCTATTGCTGGTTATGAATCACATATGATGTCGCGCGGCTGCAGTAGTAGCCACGTGACTTTAAAATTCCGAAATTTTAACAATTAAATCTGGAGGGATTTCTGCCAAAACCTGCTGGGTTCTGAGATTTGCTCCTGAGTCTCTGCGATCATGGCCGTTAAGCAGCTTGATCAGGAGCCAGAGAGGCTGTTCATGGGTAGCGAATCGAGTCTCGTTGGGACAGGGAGGAAAGGACCGGCTCCACCCACATCCCGTGAGGCCCCGTGAGTCTCGTCACTGAGGGCCCAAACCTGACTGTCCAGTGGCCTCCAGAGGATGGCGGCCACCAAGCCACCTAGGGGGAGCATGCAGAGGGACAACACCCTTTCCCCCCTGGGGTGGTCCGATGACAGTAACCTACTGCGGGATCCAGACGCATATTTGCCAAAAGCCGCTGGGTTCAAGATTTGCTTGAGTCTCTGGGATCATGGTCACTAAGTGGCTTGATCAGGAGCCAGAGAGGCCGTTCGTGGGCAGCCAGTCAGGGTCTCATTGGGTCGGGGAGGAAAGGGCTGGCTCCACCCCCATCTCGTGAGGCCCTGCATGTCTCATCACTGCGGGCCCAAACCTGACTGTCCGATGGCCTCTGGACGATGGCAGCCACCGGGATAGGGACACTTTTAAAAGGATTCCTAGTTAGTGGGACAATTGATTAAAGGGAGACTAAAAACAAAACAACACTTCCTGCAGTTTAACTGAAAGATCAGCTGTTGTGGGGCGATAGCACAGCGGGCAGGACGTTTGCCTTGCACATGGCTGACCCGGGTTCAACTCCCAGCATCCCATATGGTCCCCGAGCACCTCTAGGAGTAACTCCTGAGTGCAGAGCCAGGAGTAACCCCTGTGCATCGCTGGGTGTGACCCAAAAAGATGAAAAAAAAAAAGAAACATCAGGTGTTGATAAGATTTAAAAAGAAAAGAAATGGTCAAACAAAACCCCCCAAAGGTCCTATTTTTGGAATATAAATAGATCCCCCAGGGAACCATTCTCAATAACTGAAGACCTTCAGATGGCTTGCAGCACCAGGCAGCAGGAGACCGTGGACACGTGGTCAAGTCCTCAGGGCGCTGCACAGTTCAAAGCAGAACGGCTGGAAAACTGTCTTCCAGCGCCAAATTGAGAATTGGGCGTGGGGCGCTGTGCGGGTGGGGCTGCCTCTGGGCAGAGGCACAGATCCCGATCGGATCGGGGCAGTTGGCAAAGTCCCGGGAGGCGCTGGGCTGGCCAGGGAGAAGGCCACGCTCCTCCTGCCTGATGGCACACGGGGTGGTGGCCCCCTGGGACATGGCGTACAGGCCCTGTCTGACAGAAGCAAGGCCGGCGTCTGGTCAGAGACTCGGTGCTTCTGCCTCGTGCTCCCAGGACCGGGGGGGGGAGTCTCAGGCCCACGGGGGCGACTGGCACCCCGGCCCCTACAAGAGCAGGGGCGTCCTCTCCCCCGCCGGCCGGGCCTGCCGGAAGTGGCCTGGGAAGGCGGCCAGCCAGCCGCGGAGCCGCTCCCGCAGCGGGGGCAGGTGGTGGCTGGGGTCCAGGATGTTGGTGACTCTGCGCTCGCGCTCTCGCTTCCAGAGCTGGTAGGGGTGCGGCGGGAAGGGCGGCCGCCCGCGCTCCCTGCGTGTCTGCAGCGTCAGCCCGCTCACGGCCAGCATGCCCCACACGGCCAGCAGGATGAGGTCTGGGGCGGGCGGGAGGGAGGGAGGGAAAGAGCAGCGTGGGAACAGGCTCTTCCCGACTCGGAACCCGCCCGGCCACGGGAACCCCGGTACACGGCATGGCTGGCATGCACACACGCATAGACACACATACACGCAGGCACAGACATAGGCACACACGCTGCTTCAAAAGCGTCACTCAATGCTCTGACCCCACGTTCTGATAGCCACACCCAGGGCTGCTCGCTTTTGCTTGCTCCCGGCAGGCTCGGGGGACCACCAGGGACGCCAGGGACAGAGCCCGGCTTGGTTGTGTGCCAGACAGGTGCCCTCCCTGCTCTACTATCACTCGGCCCCCTCATTTCACTGTTTTGCAGAACAATCTTTGGCATGAGGAGGCTGGAGCAAAGGGCACAGCAGAGAGGGCGTTCGCCTCGCTTGCAGCTGACCTGGGTTTAATGCCCGGCATCCCATGTGGTCCCCTAAGTTCCACCAGGGGTAATTCATGAGTACAGAGCCAAGAGTAATCCCTGGACACCTTCAGGTGTGGCCCCCAAATCCCCAGGTATAAAAAAAAAAGGAAAGAAAAATCTGGCGTAAAATTCGCAATGCTTCCTGGGTAGCTGAGAAACTCAGGCATGGGGGACAGCTGCAGTCTGGGGTCCGGAAGGAAGCTCCGATCAGAGGCATTCTGCTCGCTGATTTGGGTCGGGGATACCCTGGCGTGGTGCTCAGGGACCACACAGTGCTGGACAGGAACGTGGGTCTCCGCGTGTCCCAGAGGGACCTGTCGGCCCATCCCCCGCACGGCCACGGCCCCTGGGCAGAGTGGCAGGAACCCGCAGGTGCCAAGAAGAGGCCGCACACAGGCCGGACCCACCTTTCCCGCCCGCAGTGGGCGACCAGCCCGGATCGTCACGACCCATCTGCAAGCCTTGGTGAGGCGGAATTTAGAACGTGCTCTCGAAACCGTAGCAGAAACCCTTGCCCGGGCGTGACCTCGTACCGAGGCCATGGCGCGGCTTCTGGAGGAGGCACGAACCCACCAGCCTCAGGCCTGGGGCGCTGGCTGTCTGTCACCTGCACGTTTCTGGAATCGTGGCACTGTTCAGCTGACTCCAGCCATCCTACCTCAGCATCTCTCAATCCTCTTTTAGTGGATTTTATTTATTTATTTTCTTTGCTTTTTGGGTCACACCCGACGATGCTCAGGGGTTACTCCTGGTTCATGCAATCAGGAATTGCTCCTGGTGGTGCTCGGGGGACCATATGGGATGCTGGGAATCGAACTTGTGTCGGCCATGTTGGCTGCGTGCAAGGCAAACACCCTCCCCGCTGTGCTATCGCTCCAGCCCCTTTTAGTGGATTTTAAATGTCTGAACTTCCACCGCCTAAGAAATGCCACCGCCTCCCTCCTGCTACCGCAAGAGGTGACGGAGGGCGAGCGCTGGGGGGTCCTTGTGCCCCAAGGGTCCATGGGCCCCCCATGTACACCCAGGCTCCACTCCCTGGTCCGCGGCCTCTCACCGTTCGTCTGCAAGGGCGCCGTGGTGAAAGCCTGCCGGAAATCCGCGTGCAGGGCCCTCTTGAGCACGTTCAAGGTGATGGACGAGAGGCTGGTGTACAAGTAACTGTCCACGGCCAAGACGACCGAGTGGGCGCCCACGACTGCACACGTGACGATGTTCAGCTGCGGAGAGAAGCCGAGTTTCTGCCCTGAGCTCGGGGGGCCCCTTCTGCTCCCGTGGGGGCATGTGCGAGGGTGGGAACGAGTCAAGCGTGTTCCTTGTCGGGTCCCCCAGGGTTTCCCCGAGCCACAGTGCCATCGTGCAGGCCCAGACCAGGGACCCTCACAGTGAGCCTAATCCGTCACCCGGCAAGGGGCCCAGGCTCTAAGCTCCCACACGCCTGCAGCACTGTGAGCTGATGTCTCCCGGGCCCATGTAGGCGCCGACGCAGGGAGCCCCGCCCTCCCTTTCCCGCACCCCATGGCCTCTTCCTGACGCTTAAGCCCAGGGCAGCTGGGGGTCCCCCACCCCCGTGATAAGCAAACGCACGGCCAGTGTGGCCTTGCGTCGGACACAGCCTGACCAGCCTCGCGGGAGGCGCGGAGCGTGGGGCCGCGGGAAGCACGTACTATCCGCGGGCAGCCCACGAAGAACGCGGGGATGAGCACGGCGATGCAGCAGAAGGTCACCCAGAACACGCTGTCCTCGCGGAAGATCCTCAGGTTTCCTGGGAGACAGGAGGGGGGAGGCCCCCGGTCAGGGCCCATCAGAGGAACCGGGACCGGACGGTCTCCGGGCTTCTGTCTGGCTCGGCCTCTGCACGGCGCCCGGGCTCTGTCTGGTGAAGGGGGAGGCTGGGCCGCACCCGGCGGTGCCTGGGGCTCGGGGGGCCTTCTGCCGAGCCGGGGATCACCCCAGGGCCGCCCCTAGGCGGCCCCCGCTGGGCCATCTCTCCTGGCTCTTGATTGTCCCGTCCCAGCAGGACGCAGCGCTGACGGAGAACGAGCAGAACCGAGCAGAACCGACGGGCCTGACCCAGCCCTCCCCGCGCCCCCTCCCGCTCACCAGCCCGCCTCCTGCTCTCGAAGGCAGGGGGCGCCCCTGAGCACAGACGGGAGCAAGCTCAAGAGCACCTCAGGGTGAGGCCCCATGAATGAGCCCCGCTCTCTCCCGAAGGGGCCCCACCACCGTGCCCGATGAATCCAGGCCGTCCCCTCGACCGACTCATGCCGCCCCTCCCAGAGCGTCTGCAGGGCCCGGGGTGGTCTGCGGCAGAGGGCGCGGCAGGGAGCGGCGTCTCCTACCCAGGGGCGTGAAGAAGGCCACGGCGGCAGCCAGGCAACCGAGGAGCAGCCCCACGCACAGCAGGCAGAGCGGGAGGACGCCCAGCCGCCACCACGCGGCCACCAGCACCGTCCCGCCGACACCGCCGGCCACAGCGGTCAGGATCAGTCGAGCTGCGGGAGGAAGGGGGGGAAGGGACGGGCTGAGGAGGAGGCCCTGGGCCGAGACACCCCGGGCAGCCCCTCAGTTGGGGGACGGAGGACAGGGGCCTCTGGGACCTGCTATGGTGGGGGGCGATGCCATACGCACACGCGAGGGCAGTAACTCCCGTCCGACCCCTCCACCCCGGGACACACGGTTTGGGGGCCACACCCGGCCAGGCTCGGGGGCCACATGGGATGCTGCGAATGGAACAAGGCAAGCGTCCTCCCGGCTGTCCTACAGCCCGGCCCCGGCACACAGGCAGACGCCAGCACAAACCCAGGCATCCAGGACGCGGAGCTCACCGTGAGGGTGAGCGGGAGGCAGGGGTGACGGAGGGAAAGGCCCCCGGTGACAGCCAGCCGCCAGCTCCGACTCTCACTCACCGTCATAGTCCACCGAGGTCAGCCTGGTGACCAGCACGTAGCAGCAGCAGCCGGCGATGATGAAGCCCACCATGAAGAGCTCTGGGGGGAAAACAGGACACGGCGTCCAGTGGGTCTCCTCACTCCGCTTGGAGACGCAACCGCAGGGGCTGGTGGACTGAGCAGAGACTCCCTCAACCGTGCTGGGCCGCCCGCCCGACCCCCTCGAAACAACCGGGATTCGAGAGGCGGATCCCAGAGGCACGTCCTTGTGTGGGGGCCACACCCACCGGCACTCAGGGCTCACCTCTGCAGGGCTCCGGGGCCGTAGGGGAGGCAGAGTCCCACAAACGGGTCAGCCACAGGCAAGGCAAGGACTCGACCTACCGTACTTGATCTTTTTTTTTTCTGAGTCACACCCAGCAATGCTCAGGGGTTACTCCTGGCTCTGCACTCAGGAATCACTCCCGGTGGTGCTGGGGAAACTATGTGGGATGCCAGGGATTGAACCCAGGTCTGCCGCGTGCAAGGCAAACATACTGCCCGCTGTGCTATCGCTCCGGCCCCTGTACTTGGTCTTTCTGGGCCCCCAAAACACTAGTTTTCTGAGGCAGGAGACGTGTCTGAGAGTCAGTTGTTAGCACAAACCGGAGGGTGTACCCCCTCCTGACACACGATGGGCACGGAGTTGGCTCTGGCTAGCCTCAGGCTCCTTCCTACTCAGGACAGGAAAACTACTTCTGTCCGCGGGTCTGCTCTGAAACGCCAAGTCATGCTGCAGGGACCCGGGCCAAGGGAAAATGTGAATTTTTCCGGATTATGCATCAGACTCTTCCAAGGCAGACGTGAGCTCTCCAACCCCCATCTCAAATGCTTCATGGGATGGACAGTCCATCACCATCATCCTGATCTCTGGGCCCTGCCTACAGCCCAGGTTCTCTGCTCTGGCATCACCCTGTGCCCGAGGGGCTCATGCCCCTCAAGACATTCTCTGATCAGTCCAACGGAAAAGAAGCCCAGGGGGAGTTTGGGAACCTCCGTGAAAGCCAGTGCCAGGAGCCCCCGAGAGCAGGACCATGGCCACTCACACTCGGGAAGCACGCGGGCCCGCCTGTTCCTGGCACCCATGACACGGATCACCACTCAGGGCTCTGACACACAGCCTGGCCCAGGGCACCTGCAGGAGCGAGCCCGGCACAGGGTCGGCCTGGACCTTCACCCCACTCCCGCCGGGCACTGCGGGGACCCGACAGCAACGGAGGGGGGACCTGGCGCAGGGGCCCGGAGCGGACGGCACCACCCGGGGAGCGCTCTTGGCCCGGCCACCGGCCGCAGCATCGCGTCTCACCCGTCTTCCAGAACCTGTGTCCGAAGAAGCAGACGAAGGAGCCGAGCAGGGCAAAGAGGGTGAAGAAGACTTTGGTAGACGCTCGCCCTGGAAGGACAGAGAGGCCACGGGTGAGCGGCGGGGACAGGCCCCGCGTCAGCGAGGGCAGCGGGAACCAAGGCCCTCTCCCGGGTCAGGCTCACGGCAACGCCTCGGCAGGGATGGGGCTCATGGGTTCCAGAAAGCAGCAGGAGGGGACAGACACAGAGGGAGCCCTCGGGGGGCCCAGAACACGGCGCGGCAGAAGCAGCTCGACGGGAACTGACCCACAGCCCGAGTGTGGGTGTGGGTGTGGGTGTGGGTGTGGGTGTGGGTGTGAGTGCGTGTGTGGGACCCACACAACTGAGTGTGAGTGTGTGTGTGTGTGTATGTATGGGGACCCACACACTGAATGTGTGTGTGTGTAGGGGGACCAACACCGTGTGTGTGTATATGTGACTCACACACTGTGTCTGTGTGTGGAGGGGGGGACCCTCACACTGACTATGAGTGTGGGGGGGGACCCACACACTGAGTGTGAGTGTGTGACTGTGTGTGGGATTACACGGACAGCCCCCGCCACCCGACAGTCACTCAATGTCAGCCCACTAGGAGTCCACAGACAGCCTGGCCCATGGTGGGGGGTACTCCAGGCACAGTGCTCCCCGGAACACTGTATGACTCCTCACTGGGGCAAGACCAAAGGCCAAGGCCATGCGCCCTCACACACCCTCCAGGGAAGAACAGACACTCCCCGGGGACAGTGACACACTCACCCGGGGACAGTCCCACCCACGCCCGGGGACGGTCACGCTCACCCAGGGATGTGCAGTTGTCCCCTGGCGTGTCGAAGCTGCAGGCATATGTGTGGGCAGGGACGTAGGCAGCTGACGTGTTCAGCAGCGGGTCCCAGACGACGACGTTGTAGATGACGCCTTGTCCCCGCAGGGAGGAGAAGGACACGCGGGTCTTGTCGTCGGCAGTGAGGGTGGCCACCTGGCGCAAGGAGACAGGCCTTGGGCCCAGCCCGCGCCAGGCCCTGTGGGAGGGCGGTGGCGCGCAGGACACCCGTGCCCACACACGCCTCAGCCCGCAGTGCCAGGAGACGTGGCGAGTGAGGCCTCGGGACAGCGGAGACCTCGGGGTGCCCGCCTGCCCTCGTGCCACAGTGCTCCTGGCAGCAGGCGTCAAACACGCCAGCCCCGAGCAGAGCACCCATGAGCGCCCGACACAGGCCGAGCCACAGACCAGCTCGCTCTGTAGTGGCCAGTTCCCTCTGGCTAAGCTGCGGTTCCCGGACCCCAGCCCATGGCACTCGGCCGCCCTCTGCTCCGAGCAGTATCGTATCAGCTCCTGCCCCGGTGGGGCACTGAGGCATGGGACATGGGCACAACCTGCCCCTCCCGATGTCCGCTAGGGAAAAACACACCTTAAAGCAACATCTCACGCTCCTCCACGGTGCCACGACACTGCCGGAGCAGCTCGGCCCTAGTCAGTGCGATCCACCAGGCCAGGAGCAGAGCTGAGGACTGCTGACTCCTAGCTCTGTGCTCAGAGCTGACTCCCAGCTCTGTGCTCAGGGATCACTCCCAGCTCTGTGCTCAGGGCTGACTCCCGGCTCTGCGATCAGGGCTGACTCCCGGCTCTGTGCTCAGGGCTGACTCCTGGCTCTGTGCTCAAAGCTGAGTCCTGGCTCTCTGCTCAAGGATCACTCCCAGCTCTGTGCTCAGGGCTGACTCCCGGTTCTGTGCTCAGGGCTCACTCCTGACCATATGCAATGGTGCCTGGAAAGAAACCCGGGCGCCTCTCCCCCACTGTGGACGCACCTGGACCGCGCTGGCCATGACCTGGGGCGCCTGGGCCATGGCCTGCAGGTGGCGCAGGAGGGCTGCGGGCGTCAGGTCGTGCTCGGGCAGGAAGTACTGGTACACGCGGTACTGCAGCCGCCACCGGGAGTTCTGGCCCGTGCCCACGTCGCAGGGCGGGGGGGCGACACCCCTGGAAGCAAGCGGAGAGCTGAGCACTGAGCCGGGCAGCGCAGGGCCGGCCGTGCCTGGGGTCAGCCTAGGGGGGCGAGGGGGTTGCGCGGGCCACTCTGGCACAGGGACGTGACGTGGGCCTCGGGCCTGGTCACTGACCTACAGCTGCTTCCTGGGCGGGGTGGGGGTCCCTGAGCTCACGGCTGAGCCCAGGAGGGGTGGCCCAGGGGACCCGGGCCTGAGAGCCCGCAGCCCCGGCCGCACGTCTGAGAAGCACCGGGACACCCCCAGCCCCCCAGAAATCCTCAAGCCAAGGCCTGAAGAGCCAAAGGACAGGAGCTCTGTGGGTGACAGCTCAGGGCCCCGAGCCAGGTCTAAGAAGCAAGTCAAATATCGCTTTTTTTAATTATTTTTTTGGGGGTGGCCCCCACACGGCGGCGCTCAGGGCTCACTGCTGACAGCCTCAGGGGCCAGGTGGGTGCCGGGGAGCAAAACGGGGCTGGCCGCATGCAAGAGAAGCCCCTCTCTGCTGCAGTGCTATCACTCCGTGGGCGTGTCACCAGCCAGGTGGTCTCTGGAACCCGGGGCGGGGGAGGCTTTTGGGCGCTGGGGTCACCTACCTCGCGGAGCCGAGGTTCGCCGGGGCGAATTTGATGGTGGTTTCGAAGAAGCTATACTCCAGGTAAATGTTGGGGTCGATCTCTAAGTCAGACTCCAAGTTACAGCCCCCGGGGACAGGGTCTGGGGGAAACAGGAAGTCAAAGGCACGCAGAGGAGAGTGGCCCCAGGGGGTCCCAGCCCACGATAGACCGACTGGCCACTGCCCCCTGCTTCCCGGGACGTCCCGGAACCGAGCCCCGGGCGCTCCCTCGGGTCACCTCTCTCGGAGTAGGCCAGCGGGACGGCCATGCTCTGGACAGGCGCTGCGGCCGCGGTGAACAGGTGCCACGTGCAGAGACGCTGCTTGGGGAACAGGGGGAAGACCAGGCCCTGGGCGTTGCCTGTGCTCGAGCTGCTGGGCAGGGGCTGCTGCGGGGGGCGAGGACGGAGAGAGGCAGGGCCGGGTCAGCAGGGGCACTGCGGACCCCACTGGGAGACCTGAAGCACGGAGCCAGGCCAGCCTGCAGGCAGTGGTACACACACACACACACACACACACACACACACACACACGTGCACATAGCTGAGCCAGTGACTCACAGCACTGAGCCAGGCCAGCACGCAGGCAGGGGTTCACACACAGGCATGCACGCAAGCACACGCACATACACACTCACACGCACACACATGTGCACACACAGGCATGCACACACGCACGCACATAAGGCTTGCACACGCACACACACACATGCACACAGCTGAGCTAGCAACTCACAGCACCGAGCCAGGCCAGCATGCAGGCAGGGGGTCTCACTCACACACACACACACACACACACGCACACACAAACATACATGCAGAGCTGAGCCAGAGACTCAGAGCACTGAGGCACACCTGCTTGCAGGAAGGGGTTCATACGTGCGCACAAACACACAACACACCCATGACATGCATACACTCTTGCACACACACATACGCTCATCTGAGCACCCGGAAGGAGCCTTCGCTGAGACGCCCCCCCAGCAACAGAGAGCATAAGCAGCCCCGCACAGGGAATGCTCTGGCAACCACTGGCCCTGCCCCCCCACCCGCCTGAGCCAGGGACCCTCGAAGAGGAAGAGGAAGAGGAAGAGATCCAAGATCCGGAGCGTTTCCCAGAAGGGAGGAAAGTGGCAAGAGAGGAGAGAGGCCGGGGGGCCCCGACAGGAAGGAGAATCGCCCCAGACCGGCAGGTATGGGGTGAGGACCCCGACCCCCAGAGCACCACACGGGGGTCCCACAACCGCGCTGGTCCCGGGGTGGGAGGGGGAGGGGATGGCGGCCTCGAGGGGCTGCGACCAGCCCTGCAGGGGGCTCCCACCTCAGCGCTGTGCCCGACCCCCACACTCCTCCCAGGGCCCACGGCCAGGCAGAGCGAGAGGCAGCAGAGCCGGGGTCCAAGCAACGGGGCGGGGGTGCCACTCCCAGGGTCCCACGTCCCGCACCCCTGTTCCCTCAGGCCTCCCGAGGCACGAGGAAGGCAGGCGGCTAGAAGCCGGCACAAAGCCTCCAGGAAGGGCCCGGGTTTTGCGTGCGTGTGTGTGTGTGTGTGTGTGTGTATGTGTGAGAGAGAGGCTGTATGCGTGTGTGTGAGCGTTTGTGTGCATATATGTATGCGTGTGCGCGTGTGTGTATCGTCTGTGTGAGTGTATGTGTGAAGGTACGCATTCATCTGTGTACGTGAGCATGTAAATGCATGTCTGTGTGAATGAGTGAGTGTGTGTGCGAGTGCGTACGTGTGAGTGTGAGAGCATGTGTTTCTGTGGTGGCTTTCATTCCGGGTCACTAGAGCCTTGGCTTCCCCAGGGGGCGGCCTCCCTTCTCCCTTCACTCTCCGGCACACCTGGGCCCGGTTCAAACCCCTTGGTGGTGGCGGGGAGCGGAGGGGGCGGAAGGTGACAAAACCCTTCCTGAGAACAACAGCAACCCCAATGCCAGTTGGCTGCTTATCTGCCGTTGGAGACGCTGCTGCTGTTTCAGAAGGCTCAGAGATAAGATTAGATTTTAAAACAGGAGCTTAGACAAAAAAGAAGCACTTCAGAGTGAGTCACTCCAGAGTGAGCCGCACTCCGGGCAGGCAGCAGGCCCCGTTTCTGCAGCGTGGGCAGGTGTGTAAGAGGCGGCCTCGGGCCTTAACACTAGCTCGCTTGGGCGTCTGAGACCCTTCCCAGGGCTGAGGCCGGGGTGGCGGGTCTGACGAGCCCCCCGGGAGCCACGCACACAGCGCCAGACCAGCCGAATGTTCCGGATCCTTCATGTCCAGGGGCCTCCAGCGGGAAACACTGACACCGCCCCCACCCCCACCCCAGGGTAGCCGTAGCTTCAGCACCGCGGGCTGTGTGCAAACACCCGCCCGGCTGCAGTGAGAAAAGGGAAAAGGCAGGAGGGAGACAGGGACCGTGGCAGCAGCGAGGCCCGGGCGCGGCCTCCCCACCGGCACGGAGGCTCCACGCTCCCTGGCAGCTGGCCCGGCCCACAGCTGACCGGCCCCGTTACCCGAGACGCGCCGCCAGACAGAAAGAGACGCCAGAGCTGACGCCTCACGCAGTCCAGGCCCCCGGCGCTTACCTTGGAGAAAGACACGGTGGTGTTCTGATGCTGCGAGTGGATTTGGAAAATAAGGAAAGCCACGTCGCTGGAAATATTCCGCAAAATGCCTTCTTTCGGGAAAGGCTTGCTGAGCTCGAAGTACATGAATCTCCCCACAGAAAATTCCAGAAGACCTACGGCGGGTTTGGGAGAGGGTTCGCTGCGCCGGCATAGCCACGGGCATCCTGGCACACCACTCACCCCCCCAGATGTGGCTGACCCCGCGGGTCCGGCCTCCAGAAGCCCCCGGCGCACTGACTCTTGTGTGCTGGAAAGGGGTCTGCCACTCGCAGCCCAGGCTGACTCTGGGGACGACACCCCATGCCAACTCGCCACCCTTCCGCGGCCACACCCACACCCACGAAGCCTCCTACATGGCCCTCAGGGAGCCCGGGGGCCGCTTCGGAGGTTCTCGGCCAACGGGGCCGTGTCTCAGCGTGAGGCCTGGATGTGGTGTGCCGGGGGACGGCCACCGCAGTGGTGCCGGGGCTTCACGGCTGCAGCCTGTGCCGTGGGGGGACCATGTGGTCCTGGGGGGCAAACCACCGTCGCTGCACGCAGGCTGGCGCGAGTGCTGAGACCCAGCAGGAGGAGGACAGTCTGTGCCAGGCCAACGGTTCGGGGGGGACAGTCTGCCACGAGCCGAGAGTGCGAGGACCAGAACAAAGCTCGGTCTGTAGCTGTCCCCAGCCTCCACGGCTCCAACACGGCCTTCGTAGCTCGAAATTCTGATCTGAAGCGAGCGCGAGAATCGAAGTGAATCGAGGTGACGCCTGCCTGCAGTCTAACCGCCGAGAGCCCGGGCACACGCGACGGTGGCAAGAGCCGACAGAGCTGCACCAGGAAGGCTTATTCCCTCCTGGATTTGTTCCCTCTCACCCTGGACAGAGCCCGCATGGCCCGGCTCAGGGTGTGGGAACAGGGGGCAGAAAGCCGAGGCGTGTGGGGGGCAGGGAAGTCGAGGCACACCCATCCCCAGGCTCTGCCCACCTCCCACACTAAACCCGACACTAAACCCCCCAGGCCCCCGGCCCGGAGCAGCACTGTTGCCTGCAGGTTTGCCTCGAGCTCCAGGCTCCAGGCGCAATTCCAGTGACTTCTCTACCGACTCTGCAGTCACCTGGCTTTGCTTTAAGCAAACGCTCGGGGCTGAGAGCCTCAGCGTTCACAGTGCTCTCAGGGTCCCCCGCACAGAGGCATCTCCCTGGGAGTCGCTCCCGCCTGTGCAGGGGGAAGCGGGCATCAACCCCACATCACCTCCCGCTCAGATCTGCGGTGCGGATTCCAGAAGGGACAGCGCCGTCTTCCCAACTCTCGGCAGACGTGACATTAAAAAGAGAAAACGGCCACCCGAGGGGGGGGGGCCATCAGCCCTGCCCACACCCCCTGGCCCCAAGGCTGGACAAGCCACCTTCGGTGGGGTTTTGCACACACCTGGGTGCTGTGCCGCCTGAGATGGCTGGAGAAGTTGGGGGGGGGGTGGTCACAGAAGGCCCCACGCAGAGCACGAAGATGCGAGCCCTGGGCTTTGGGAGCCAACCGAGTGCAGCCAACCGAGTCGGCGCCAACCCTGGGAAGCCACAGGCCCCTTTGCACGACCCCGCCACCCCGAGGCTGCCTGCAGGTGAGTGGACACGAGGCCACGGTGATGGGAGATGTCACCTCTGCCCTGCGCCACTGACATCACAGATGGCGGGGACTGGCTCGGAGCCCCCAAAGGTTCAGTTTGCCCAAGGCTGTGTTCTCAGCCCCGCCAGCGGCTTGCCCCGCCCAACGTTCCTGCTCTCCTCAGCGCTGTCAGAATCCAAGGCGGACACACAGCCATTTCCCAAGGCCCGTCACGCGACTCCGGGACGACGTCTTTCCTTCCCTGCCAACCTTCCAGGTGGCAAGAGCAGCCTCAGTTTTTACCGAGCAGTGAGGCTACCCTCGCACAGAACCATCCCGTGCCAGGCAGGGGAAGGGCCCTGCCCAGAGACAGCACCGTGGGCACACACAGGAGACGCAAGAAATGCAGCGAAGACTGTAGGTCTGTCCACGACTCAAATATCTCCACGGCGGCACAAAAAAACACAGGTGCTATTAAACGTCCAGTGGCGGGTACACGCAAGAGATGGGCCATGTAATAATACGGCAAGTAGGTGCTTGCCAGGCACGCATCCCACTCGGTTCCATCCCTGGCACACAGGCCCCTGGGCACCACCGGGAGTAGCCCCCGAGCATGGCTGGGTGGGTGACGACAAAAAAAAAAAAAAAGGAAACTCCCAGATCCCAGCCCAGCCTGAGTCCAGGCCAGTGTGGGTCAGCGCCAAGTTCCTTCTCTAGGTTCTCCTCTCTGAATGGAAACTGCTCTACTTGACCTGCCTCAGTGGCTGTTGGGGGGGGCTGGAGCGTCCCGGCAGAGCCAGGGAGCGCTCTGAGAGAGGGTGGCTCTCTGCAGGCTCCCTGCGGGGAAGGCGAAGGGCCAGTGTTGCCACATTCTGCCCGATGCCTCCCGGCTGTGGTTGTGTTATCAACCTTGTCTTTGGCTTCACCCTCTGTTGAGTGGAGATAAGCTCAACCCCACAGGGCAGGAGGCTTAAACAGCGCTGCCAGAGGGCCTCTCTCTGCTCCCTTAGGGCGCACTGTCAACAGGCTGTGCCTTCTGCCAAAGGAAAGGAAAGAGGGTGGCCACCCTTTCCAGCCTCGCTCCTGGGATTCGGCTCACACCAAGGCGCTGCAGAGACGTGCCCTTCAGGCACAATCCTTTTTTTTGTGGGGGGGGGGGGGGTCACACCCTGCCATGCACAGGGGTTGCTCCTGGCTCTGCACTCAGGTATTACTCCTGGCAGTGCTGGGGGACCCTATGGGATGCTGGGAATCGAACCGGGTCAGCCACAGGCAAGGCAAACGCTCCCCACGGTTTATTACTCCGGCCCCTCAGGCGCACAATCTTACTGTTCAGAAAACATTCCGTTTCAGAGCTGCAACCCGCCTCTACGGTCCCAACCAAAACTAGGGATGCACCTAAGCCCCCCACCGGCAAGCACTGGGTCACCAGGCTGGGCACGAGCGCGCCCGGGCCGGCCACACTCCCGAACTCCGAGCTACAAAACCCCCTCGCCAAGCCCCTGCGCTGGGGGTGCGACTCCTCTGCCAAAGCCCCCTGCCCGCTGCACAGAGCCGCACCCAGCCCCGCTCCAGGCCGTCCTGTCCCTTCACTGGGTCCGGCTGGGCTGCTCCTGACACGCCCAGCTCGGGGCAGCGCTGGGACCCCCGGGATCCGGAGAGGGGTGAGAACAAGACCAGCGGGGCAGCGATGGGGCCCCCGGACCCCCGACTCGTGGGGAGAGGTGAAAGCAAGGCCAGGGGCAGCGCTAGACCCCTGACCCCCGGGTGGGGTTGCACGCACGGCCGGGGCAGCGCCCGGCCCTCCCAATCCAGGGGAGGGGTGCAGGCACCGCCGGGGAAGCCCCGGGAGCCCCCGGACCCCCGGACACCCCCGACCCCGGGTGGGCGCGCACACGGCCAGGGCAGCGCCGGGATCCCCGGACCCTGGACACCCCCGACCCGGGCAGCGGCGGAACCCCGGACCCTGGACCCTGAACCTCCCGGACCCTGGACCCCCTGACCCCCCTGACTAGGGCAGCGCCGGGATCCCCGGACCCTGGACCCCTGACCCCCGGACTCTGGACCCGTCCGACCCGGGCAGCGCCGGGACCCCCGGACCCTGGACTCCCCGACCCCGAGTGGGCGCGCGCATGGCCAGGGCAGCACCAGGACCCCCGGACTCTGGACCCCCTGAGCCCAGGTGGGCGCGCACAAGGAGGGGCAGCGCCGGGACCCCCGGACCCTGGACACCCCCAGACCCACACGGCCGGGGCAGCGCCGGGACCCCCGGACTCCGGACCCCCCGACCCCGGGTGGGCGCGCGCACGGCCAGGGCAGCGCCGGGATCCCCGGACCCTGGACACCCCCGACCCGGGCAGCGGCGGAACCGCGGACCCTGGACCCCCCGACCCCCCCGACCCGGGCAGCGCCGGTACTCCCGGACCCTGGACTCCCCGACCCCGAGTGGGCGCGCGCATGGCCAGGGCAGCACCAGGACCCCCGGACTCTGGACCCCCTGAGCCCGGGTGGGCGCGCGCACGGCCAGGGCAGCGCCGGGACCCCCGGACCCAGGACCCCCCGACCCCGAGTGGGCGCGCGCACGGCCAGGACAGCGCCGGGACCCCCGGACCCTGGACACCCCCAGACCCACACGGCCGGGGCAGCGCCGGGACCCCCGGACCCCGGACCCCCCGACCCCGAGTGGACGCGCGCACGGCGGGGCAGCACTCACCCTCGCCCTCCGCGGCTCCGTCCGGCCCCGGCTCCGCCGCCAGCGCGGCCAGCGCGGCCAGCAGGACCAGCACCGCGGCCCCCGGGAGCGCCATCGCGTCCGGCCGGCCCGTCCCGGGCGCGCGCTGCCCCGGCCGCGGGCCTCGAGCGCCCCCGCCCGCCGCGCCGCGCACCTGCGCCCCGCGCGCACCTGGCCCCGCGCTTCCGCTTCCGGCGCCGCGCCCCGCCCCGTGACGTCACGGCGCCCCGTCCGCGCGCGCCCCCTGCCGGCGGCGGCCTTGCTGGCAGCCGGGCGCTCCCTGCCGGGGCGGGGCGCGGGGGCCGCTTCGGCGTTGGGGGGAAAGTGGGTTTTTCTCCCCCCAGTTCCCAGAGCGCGGAACGGCCGCCCGCCGCGGCCTGGCGTCCCCGGGCAGGGATTGCCGCGGAGACTGCGGCCACCGGCCGGCTGGGGCGGGCGGCGCGGCCTAGGGGCCGGGGTCGAGGCGGGGGGGGGGGGGGGGAGGGGGAGTCCGGGAGGGCCTGGGGGATGGGGGAAGCCTGGGGGTCGGGGAGGGTACGGGGGAACTGGGGAGGGCCTGGGGGTTGGAGAGGCCTGGAGGGATCGAGGAGGGCTTTGGGGGGTCGGTGAGGGGAGGCTTGGGGGGGTTGGGGAGGGTCCGGGGGGTCGGGGAGGACTTGGGGGGGTCGGAGAGGCCTGGGGGGACCTGGTGGTGGGGTCGGGGAGGGCCTGGGGGGCGGCGCCGACCCCAAGGAGGAGAAGGGCCAGCCCGGGTGGTCGGTGCCCGCTTGGGGCAGGCGGGTGGGCACTGCCCGCAGGCCCCGTTGCTCGCTCCCGCCCGCTCTCTGCCGCGCGTGTCCCACCGAGTGCCCGTGTCCGGGTGCTGGCGGTCTCCGTCCCCGGGCATCGTCCCTTCTCTGGCTCCTTCCTCGCCCCACGCCCCCGCCCAGGGTTTGAGACCCCAGCCTGCCTGGGGCGCCCGGGGCCGGGGGCGCGGGATTCCCGGGTCGTTAGTGCGTTGGTGACTGGCGCTCGCTGCCCCTCATCGGGGAGGGTCTCGGGGCTCCAGAACGTTCACCCTGTGCGAACTAAATCCCAAAGTAAGGTTTTTTGGGGTTTTTTTTTTCTCTTTTTGGGTCACACCCAGTGATGCACATTACTCCTGGCTCATTCACTCAGGAATTACTCCTGGCGGTGCTCGGGGGACCCTATGGGGTGGTAGGAATCGAACCGGGGGCTCGGCCGCGTGCAAGGCAAACTACCCTACCCTCTATTGCTCCAACCCCCAAAGTCATGTTTTTTAAGGAACAAAGAAAAACAATATGCTTTACAAAATATTTTTGACCTCTGAACTGGGGGGAACTTTAAAAAAAAAAACGGTTAAGGTGATTTGGGCAATAATCCACTCCGATTTGGAAATTTCTTTTTTTTTTTTTTTCCTTTTTGGGTTACACCCAGCACTGCTCAAGGGTTCCTCCTGGCTTTGCACTCAAGAATTACTCCTGGCAGTGCTCAGGGGACCCTATGGGATGCCAGGGATCTAACCAGGTGGGCCACGTGCAAGACAAACGCCCCACCTGCTGTGCTATCTTCTACCTTTGGCCCTGATCTGGAAATTTCTTAGCAAAAAAAAAAAAAAAAAAAGGACAAAACCATAAAGGGAAATGTTGGCATATTTGACTATTTAAGAATATGGAAGTAAAGAAAAGCTAGCACTAGAAACAAGCACAATCACAATCACAGATCATCCTGTTATTCATCGATTGCCTGGAGCAGGCCCCAGTAAGTCTCCTTCATCCTGGCCCTGAGGTTATATTCAAGGCTCTTTAGGAGAATGAGACCCATCATTGTTACTGGTATTTGGCATATTGGGTACGCCACGGGGAGTTTGCCAGACTCTGCCGTGTGGACAGGCTACATTCGGTAGCCTGCCAGTTTGTCAAAGTAGGAATGAGATAATAAGATGTCATAATAAGATGTCGCGCGGGAGACTTGCGCCCTGTAATCCCATCAACAGCCAAGACTCAGAGACTACAAAAACCAGCTCCCAGAAAGAATCAAAACTCCTAAATATTCCATTGTTGATCGGTGAGATCCCTAGAACAGGATACTTTGGAGTCCTTCACAAGCCATGTTTTAGAGACGAGCTGACGGGGTGGTTACTAAAACGCAAGCGAGAAGGCAATAGCTGACCCATCCTGCAGCAAAATGTGAGACCCTGATCCGAGAAGGGGCCGGGTCAAAGGGCAATTTGGGGCATCAGCCTGAGGGGCCAGGGAAGGGGGGAACCCTGGGGTTTTCCCATTTCCTGCTGGGGTGGGGCAGACAGCAGCTGAGTCATTGGGGGAGGAAGGTTCAACCAAAGGTAAGATGCCGTAAGTGAGCCTGATTTGTTTTCTTTTTAGTCTTTTTAGCAGAGATGTTTGCACACCTGGGTTGGAAAAACATACCACCTGTCAGGATGCTGGAAATAGTTCCCGCCAGGTGATCGGATTAAGGGATCTTTTGCACTTCATTAAAAGCCTAGCTGTAATGCATATTGCTTTTGAATAAAAGAAGATACGATTTATGGGGCTTGGGAGATAGCTCAAAGGGTTCATGCCGGAGCCCCAGGTTTGATTGCTGGCACCACGTGGTCTCTTGAGCACCTTCAGGCAGGTCCTACCTCCACCCTTCCCATATAAAATTTAAGAATATACACATAGTTTCATGGGCTGGAGCGCTAGCCCAGCGGGTGGGGCATTTGCCTTGTACACAGCCGACCCAGCTGACCCGGGTTTGATTCCTCCGCCCCTCTCAGAGAGCCTGGCAAGCTACTGAGAGTATCCCGCCCACACGGCCAAGCCTGGCAAGCTACCCATGGCATATTCAATCTGCCAAACACAGTAACAAGGAGTCTCACAATGGAGACGTTACTGGGCCTGCTGGAGCAAATCCATGAACAACACGAGGACAGTGCTACATTGCTACACAGTTTCAAAGCTTGTATCCATCAAAGCGCTGAGGACACCAGCCCACCTTCCTCAGTATAACACTGTTTGCCTGAAAATAAAAAGGCAAAAGAGGGGCTGGAGTGATAGAGTGATAGCACAGCAGGAAGGGCGTTTGCCTTGCACACAGCCAACCCGGGTTTGATTCCCAACATCCCATATGGTCCCCCGAGCACCACCAGGAGTAATTCCTGAGTGCAGAGCCAGGAGTAACCCCTGAACATCGACGGGTGTGACCCAAAAAGACCAACCACAACAACAAAAAAGGCAAAATAAGAGATGATCAGCCATTTCAGTAGGGTTACTTCAATTGGGCATATACTGTTGCAGGTAAAAACCTAACAGAAGCCCAAGAAGGATCGAAAGTCCTTGGGCAGGAGAGTAGGCCCTCCCGTTGATCGTCGATTTGCTCGAGCGGGCCCAGTAACGTCTCCATTGGAGACTTTGTTGTTACTGTGTCTGGCATATTGAATACGTCACAGGGAGCTTGCCAGGCGAGTAGTAAAAGGGAGAAAAGAGGAAGGTGAACTAAGAGATTAAAGATGAGTGTTAGACTATTGAAAATTGGTTAATGGTTTTAGCCTCTGGCAAAAGTCCTAACTCTCCACCCCAAATTGAGCCCCCCCCCCCCCCCAGTCCCTTACTCCCACAGTCCAAAATTGCTACCATGCCCCTGGCCAGACTCCATTGTCTCAGGCTCGACCTAACTGAGATAGTAATCTGCTGGAAATTTGGGTACACGGGTTGTATGACTGAAATCTCCAGCCTTTCTCCAAAGTGGGATGGGCTACCTCCCCCCACCTCCCTATACTTCCAGAAGTCTCAGCAGTCACATCCACACCCCAAAGTCACCCCCCGCCCCAGTTAAAGAAAAGCTTCTCTAGTTGTTACCTCCCCCTAAAATTACTGAATGCCCTGAACAAACAGCATGACCTTTTAGTACCTGTATTGCAAACCATGATGCACAAAAGGAGAAAGAAGAAAGGTTCCTGCCATAGAGGGAGGTGGGGGTTTTAGGGGGTGGTGGGAGGGAAACTGAGGACATTGGCACTGGGTGGAGGGATGGGTGTAGAATCATTGCAGGACTGAAACCCAGTCATGAATAGCTTTGTGATGGTCGATCTCACGGTGATTCAGTTACAAAAAAAAGAAAAGGACAAGCCAGCCCCCAGCACCGCCATCAACAGGGGGCTCTCCCAGCCCAGCCCAGCCCAGTGCCCAGAAAATTGCAATTTAGATTTGCTAAAGGTAAAGTTGGTCTTTGGTGGCTGCCAAGTCTCCTGGGGTTGTTTGCTCTGTGCATGAGTCAGGGGCCACCTGGAAAGCAAAACCAAAGTAAATATCAGAGGGTCAAGGGTTCAGGCCAGTCACTTGAGGGATGCTGGAGCGGTGGTTTAAACGGCACTCCCTGCTCCTCTGCAGTTCGCTAACTCAGTGGTCAATCAATCCAGTTCTTTCTTGGGGGAGGGGCACCTGGTGATGTTCCTGGCCCTGCACTCAGGAATCGTTCCTGGCAGTGCTTGGGGGAACATCTGGGATGCCGGAGGGAGATCCAACCCGGGCCTGCCATGTGCAATATCAGTGTGAAAGATAGCCCCATGACAATTGGGCCCTAGCAAAGCAAGTCCCAGCCCATGTCCCACCCTGCAGCTGCGGCAGGCTAGCGACACCAAGTACCCCCATCTCCTCCCTGCACCTGGAATTCGCCAGAGAAGGCCACAAGGCCGGAGAAGGCCTAATGAGGCATCTCCTTGTCCTGGAATCCGCTAACAAGGCCCAACACCAAGTACCCCCATCTCCTCCTTGCCCCTGGAATTCGCCAGATAAGGCCACAAGGCCGGAGAAGGCCTAATGAGGCATCTCCTTGTCCTGGAATCCGCTAACAAGGCCCAACACCAAGTACCCCCATCTCCTCCTTGCAGCTGGAATTCGCCAGATAAGGCCACAAGGTCGGAGAAGGCCTAATGAGGTATTTTCTTGCCCTGGAATTCACCTAATAGGGCCATAAGGCCAGAAAAGGCCTAATTGACTGCCCGTTGGGAGGGCCTGGTGACAGGTACAGAAGAGAGTGGCTGGTGCTGATGGCTTGTTGCAAAATGACTGGCTGCCTGCGTGCAGCATCTAATGTGATCATTCAAATGTATTGGGTGATTTGTGCGCGGGCTTTCTGAAATGCGCTGGAAGATGCCCTATAAAAAGCCCCCTTTGAAGTGGCTCGGGGCTCTCAGTCACTGACGGTTTGCGGTCATGCTGTGAGCCCGAGCATGCTCGAATGAACCTCTTGCTTTTGCATGGACTTGGTCTCTCAGAGTTTTCCTTGACAGGTGAGGCTGTCCTGAGCTCGGACCCTAACAAGTGTACTGCCCACTGTGTTATTTCTCTGGCCCCAATCAAATTTTATTTTTTAAAAAAAATTTATTTAATTTTTAGCTTTTGAGCTATATGCAGCAATGCTCAGGAATCACTTCTGATGGTGCTTGGAGGACCACATGGGATGCGGGGATGGAACCCAGGTCAGCTGTGTGCAAGGCAAACATCCTCCCCACTGTGTTATGGCTCCGGCCCCCCAATCAAATTTTAATTAAAAAAAGAATAAGGGGCCGAAGTGATAGCGCAGTGGGTAGGGCATTTGCCTTGCATGTGGCCGACCCGGGTTCGATTTCCAGCATCCCGTATGGTCCCCTGAGCACTGCCAGGAGTGATTCCTGAGTGCAAAGCCAGGAGTAACCCCTGAGCATGGCCAGGTGTGACCCGAAAAGCAAAAAAATAAAATAAAAATAAAAATTGCTTATACACGAATGGACGTGCACAGTATCATGCTGAATGGAATGAGTCAGAGGGAGGGGGACAAGCATAGAATGATGCACTTATTCATTTGAGGGATATTAAAAAAAACACCAGCATAGGTGAATAGTACCCAAAGACACAGGAACGAGGGCCCCCGCGGTAGGAAGCTTAACGCAAGGGGGAGGGGAGTGCAGTTGGGATGGAGAAGGGACCACTATGACAGTAATAGTCGCAAATGATCACTCTGGACACAAACTCCGTGCTGGAAGGAGGTGACGGGATACGCATGACACCAACGAGGGCCGGAGGGAAACTGGGGACCTGGGTGCCGGGAAATGTGTCCTGGAGAAGGGTCAGGTGCTGGAACGTTGCGTGACCGAAACCGTGAACAGCTTTGTAGAATCTCACCGTTTCTCCATTTAAAAATAAAATAAAATAGGTTGGTCTGCCGTTTCCCTGACTGAGGGAGGACAGCCCGGTGCTTCCGCGGCCCTGAGCATTCCCAGCTTGTCCTTCACGCCCTACCGAGGTCAGGAGTTGCCCCCCACGAGCGGCTCTCCAGCACGGCCATGGCTCCAGAAGCACAAGGACTTAATGCAGAGCCCGGCAGCTTGGAGCAGAAAAGTGAACGGACTATGTGTTAAGCCACGCCACCATGCCTGCCCGGAGGGGAAAGGGTGTTGGTCCCTTCCGCCTTCTCCCCTCTGGAAAGAAAGATGGCAGCCGCCTGGGAGCCTTATGGAAAGCCAGGTATGAGCCAGTGGTGACGGGGCAACTAAAATCTCATGGGAAGGGGGGCGTTTTCGGCTCGTCCTTCACACCCTACCGAGGTCACCAGTTGCCCTCCATGAGCGGTTCTCTGGCACGGACATGGCTCCAGAACACAGAAACCAATCTTTTAATTATCTGACTCTCAGTAGAAAAACTTCCAGGACTAATAAGTAAAATAGCAGAAATCCAAAACCAACATATAATTCTTGAACCCAGCTGTAGAAAGCAAATCATTTCACAATGCTTTTTCAGCATGTCTGTTTGCGGGTGTAAACTCTAAATAATAATGGTGCATCTTTTATCGAAACAATGAATCTAATCAAAGTAGACAGAGTGTTAACTAGAATTCATCTGCCTCACAGGCATTGGGAGGGTTGGGAGGGGGGGTTTATTGGGGTTCTTCGTGGTGAAAAATAAGTATTGGTGAAGGGAAACGTGTTTGATATTTGCATGACCGAGACCTAAACCTGAAAGCTTTGTAACTTTTCCCACAGTGATTCAATAAATAAATAAATAAATAAATAAAAATAAAATAAAATAAAAGAGGGGCTGAAGAAATAGCACAGCGGGTAGGGCGTTTGTTTTGCACATGGCCGACGCAGGTTCGATTCCCAGCATCCCATATGGTCCCCTGAGCACTGCCGGGAGCAATTCCTGAGTGCAGAGCCAGGAGTGGCCCCTATGCATCGCCAGGTGTGACCCAAAGAGCAAAAACAAACAAACAAACAAATAAAAGATTAAGGTGGCGCCCCTCCCCGTGGGCGGGGCCGAGCGGGGCCCCAGGTGCCGCGGGCCTGACGTCACGCCGGAAGCCCCGCCCCGCCCCGCCCCGCGTTGTCCCCGCCCCCTCCAGGAAAGGAGGCCGGCGATTGGCCGCGCGCCCTGGCGCGTGCGCAGTTGCTCCGGCGGGTCGGGGCGGCTCGCGACCATGGCGGACCGGCTCACGCAGCTGCAGGACGCGGTGAACTCGGTGAGTGGCGCGCGCGGGGGTCGGCCCGGGACCCCCGCCCGCCCGCGCCCGTGCGCTCCTCTCGCCTCCGGGCGCTCGCTTGCTCGCGGACACTGTCGTTGTTTTCGACTTTCGGTCCCCCCCGGGGTGTCTCCTTGCACCCCGGATCGTCCTGCACCCGCGCGCCCGGGGGCGACCCCCCTGCCCCCCAGCCCCCCGGCGGCTCCTTGACCCTGGACAGCGGCGCTCTGCACCCGAGGGAGCCCGCGGGCCACCGTGCCCCGGCGAGGGGCGACCCCGGGAACCTCCGGGGGCCCCATGGTCGGGGATGATCCGGGACCCGCACCCCTTGCTGCAGGGAGACGCCCCCCGCCGAGGGTCCCCAGGTCCAGCTGCGCGGGCGCCGGGCCGGGGGTGGGCAGCACCCGTGAGCATCCGAGCTGGCTGGCCGCTGCCCCCGAGGGGGGACAGGAAGCGCCTGCTGGACGCACACGGCCCTCTGCGGCCCAGGTGACCCCCACCCCCCCACCAGGCCTCTGCAGCCGGGCTGGGCAGGAGGCCAGGAGCCCAGGGACCCCCACAGCGGGCAGGCAGTGTGCGGCCAGGGGCTGAGTCCAGTGTCCAGCCGGCCTGGGCAGGAGCCCCAGTGCCCAGGGACCCCCACAGCGGGCAGGCAGTGTGCGGCCAGGGGCTGAGTCCAGTGTCCAGCCGGCCTGGGCAGGAGCCCCAGTGCCCAGGGACCCCCACAGCGGGCAGGCAGTGTGCGGCCAGGGGCTGAGTCCAGTGTCCAGCCGGCCTGGACAGGAGCCCCAGTGCCCAGGGACCCCCACAGCGGGCAGGCAGTGTGCGGCCAGGGACTGAGTCCAGTGTCCAGCCGGCCTGGGCAGGAGCCCCAGTGCCCAGGGACCCCCACAGCGGGCGGGCAGTGTGCAGCTGGGGGCTGAGTCCAGTGTCCAGCCGGCCTGGGCAGGAGCCTCAGTGCCCAGGGACCCCCCACAGCAGAGAGGTAGTGTGCGCCCTTGGCTGAGTCCAGTGCTTTCAGCTGGCCAAGGTGCCTGTGTGGTGAGAATATGTGGTCATCAACTTGACCCAAACGGTGATTTTTTTTTTTTTTTGAAGTGGTAAAATCACGTTGCTTTCCCCCAGAGAGCTCCCGGGAGGGGCAGAATCAATTTCTCTGCTTTGTGTCCTGTTGGGGGCCACACCTGGCAGTGCTCAGGATTGACTCCTGGCTCCGTGCTTGGGGATCTCAAGGGGCCCCAGGTACCCTGTGTGGGATGCCGGAGTCTGGCCCAGGTTGGCCCCGGGTCCTTCGAGCACCTTAGGGCTGTGCTGTCGCTCTGGGCCCCTGAGACTTTAGTTTAGACTCTCTGCGTGAATGTTCACGTACAGTGTTTATCTTAGAGTGGACTGTTGAGGACTGTTTGAGCAAGGGCATCTTGAGAGTTTTCTTTTTTCTTTTCTTTTTTTCTTTTTGGGTCACACCCAGTGATGCTCAGGGGTTACTCCTGGCTCTGCACTCAGGATTTACTCCGGGTGGTGCTCGGGGGACCATATGGGATGCCGAGGATCGAACCCAGGATCGAACCCGGGTCAGCCACATGCAAAGCAAACGCCCTACCCGCTGTGCTATCGCTCTGGCCCCTCAGGAGTTTATTTTAATGAAAATCTATTGAAATCACATGATGTCAGACATGAAGTAACTAATGAGCACTCTGTTGTGAGGAACTAGGGAAAAATCTATTATTGAATCTAGGTAGAAACAAAATAAGGAAATTACTGATCAATTAGAGTTGACAACCAAATTGACTGCTATTGGTTAACTTCCATTTAAATTTTACAATCTTGTGTATTTATGTAGGCAAGTTTTAGTATTTTAGTTTTTTTTTAAGAAGCCAATTTTATTTAATTATTTATTTTCCTTTTTGGGTCACACCCAGCAATGCCTGAGCATTGTAATCCCTGAGGGTTACTCCTGGCTTTGCACTCAGGAATTACTCCTACCAGCCCCCTATCTCCAGAGCTTTGGAGGAATGGAGCACTTTGAAACCGGGACGTGTGTGTGTTCTGTTTGTCGTTGCTGTGCTGTGAGACTGTGCAGCCGCAAACCAGCTATGGGTCGCTGGACACAGAATTAGCACCCACATACGTACTGCTGGCCACTGCACACCACGAGTAGGAGAAGGAGAACACAGCTGGTAATCGAACCCAAAGCTTCCCCTGGGCAGGGAGAGGAGAGTGAGGGCTGAGCCTCATCTTATTACTGACGGCTCCGAAATATCCCAAATGTTGGATGTTTCCCTTGCAAGACCAGGTTGGGTGAGATCAGAATTCATGAGCAGGGGAGAGTAACAGTGAACTGGGAAACCAGGAGGTGGTTGAACAGCGCTGAGATCATGGGCTCTCTTGGAGCAGGGGTGAGGATGGAAGGAAAAGGGAAACATCCGAACAGGAGGGTGTGAGTGAAAGGGCAGTCAGCCTGCTTGGCTGGGAGAGTCTCTCCCAATTAGAAATGAAAGGAAACCGGGCTTTTAATCCGGTCACTCAGATACCAGTGGAGAAACGTAGCGGAAATGAGCGTTCATTGAGGGAAATACGGAGTTGAGGTTTGAGAAGTCAAACCCTGGTGGCAAAGGAGGGGACCACCTTATGTGGCAAGGCCAGAATCCCAGAATCCGTTGTTCTCAGCTTGGCAGACTGCTCAGGAATTGCTCTTGGAGGACCAGTGTGTTGTGCAGGAAACCGTTTCTGAGTGCTGAAGTTACAGACTTAGATACTGGCCTCCCGTTGTTCATCAATTTGCTCGAGCGGGCCCAATAACATCTCCATTGTGAGACTTCTTGTTACTGTGTTTGGCATATTGAATACTCTCGGTAGCTTGCCAGGCTCTCCGAGAGGGGCAGAGGAATCGAACCTGGCTCGGCCAGGCTGGCTGCGCGCAAGGCAAACGCCCTACCGCTGTGCTATCACTCCAGCCCACAGACTTAGATATACTTTTTTTTTCTTTTTGGGTCACACCCGGAGATGCTCAGGGGTTACTCCTGGCTCAGCACTCAGGAGTTACTCCTGGAGGTGTTCAGGGGATCATATGGGATGCTGGGAATCCCAGGGATGCAAAGCAAACGCCCTACCCCCTGTGCTATCTCTCCAGCCCTATTTAGATACACTTTCTTTTTTACTTGTTACTCTGTTCTCACCGCAGGGACTGTGTTTTGTCCAAGAGTCACAATTTCTCGCTTGCTCTGGTTTATATTTAGATTTTCACCTCAAAGATTTCCTCTTTGCCGCCACTGCCCTCCAGAAGGGCCCTTCCTCATACTGGCCCGGAGGACTGGTCTGCATCTTTTTCATCATTCTTGGGAATGAATGGACAGTTCATTTTGTATTTCTTTCTAAATGTTCCAATTAGATTGAGAACCAGCCTAGTCTCTCTGCAGGATCGAGCATCTCAGGGTATTAGCTGGCTCCTTTGCGCCCAGATTGCTCCTTTCTGTCTTACTGGCTGGCTCAGTGGCCAGGAGTCCAGCAGCCTCCTCTGCTGACCGCTGACCGTGTGCTGTCTCTGCCCGCAGCTCGCGGATCAGTTCTGTAACGCCATCGGCGTCTTGCAGCAGTGCGGGCCACCGGCCTCTTTCAGCAACATCCAGACGGCAATCAACAAAGACCAGCCCGCGAATCCCACGGAAGGTAAGAGAGTGTTTTTCTGGCTTCTCCCACTTTGAGTCCCATATGACTTGTAATCCCTTAATTTTTTTTTTTTTCCGCTTTTTGGGTCACACCCGGCGATTGGTTTACTCCGGGCTCTGCACTTGGGAATCACTCCTGGCGGTGCTCAGGGGATGCTGGGAATTGAACCTGGGTTGACTGCTTGCAAGGCAAACGGCCGACCCGCTGTGCTATCACTCCAGGCCCAATCCCTTAAAGTTTTATGGAGAAATTCAACCAGCGTTCTTGTACTTTGGGGCAGGACCTTAAGTTTTGTTGGCCATGAAAGAAACAAATTCGTTACACTTGATTCACATCCCTGCTCCTGACTCTGTCAGTGTCAAATAGTAGTTTTGCTTTCCGAGGGAAATGGGCATGAATCTAGCTGAAAATTTCTTGAGGGACCTGTAAAAAGATGCCTCCGTTGGCTTATTCCTTCCTACCGGCGTCTGCCGTGTTTTCCTAATTGTGAAACGGTGGACGCTGTTTCATTCCCAATTCAAGTTGGTGTGAAGGCTGGTTCTCAGATATGTAGTAGTAGGATCGGCATGTTAGAATTACACATGAGTCTTGAGACCCTGCTACCGAGAACGTCAGGCGTAAAGCTATAAAGTCTTTGTGGTCTTTGTGGTTTGGTGACGTAAGACGGACTTTCTGTTTCCGAGAGCCACGGGCTCCGGCGCCCTAACTTGGCGGTGTCTTTCCCAGAGTACGCCCAGCTTTTCGCGGCTCTCATCGCCCGAACAGCCAAAGACATCGATGTCCTGATAGACTCTCTGCCCAGCGAAGAGTCCACGGCCGCCCTGCAGGTAGGAGCCTTTTCCTCCAGAGCAGCTGAGCCGCAGGGTTTTAGTTAAACGGGTTCTACTGATATTTCATGGTTTTTAGATCCACTGCGGGCGTTTTATCGTTCGAGTCGTTACTGAGAACTGCACTGCACGCGTACCCCTCAAATTCTCAGCCAGTTCCCTGGTCTTCTCAGGTTCAAGCTTAGAGAGGATGAGGGGAGCTGGCGTCTGGGTGTGGTGTGGCAGGGAGAGTCCAGAGCTGGCCTGGGCCAGGCATGGCAGCCAGCAGGGAGCTCTCGCTGGGATTATTTATGGTAGTTCAGGGAAAGGGCCTTAGAAATTTTTTTTTTTTTTTTTGCTTTTTGGGTCCCACCCAGCAATGCTCAGGCGTTAATCCTGGCTTTGCACTCAGGAATTACCTGACAGGTTGGGAGAACCTTATGGGATGCCGGAGATTGGCCGCGTGCAAGGCAAATGCCCTCCCTGCTGTCCTATTGCCCCGGCCCCGAAATTTTGGTGTTTAGAATGTTGCCCCTGAAAAACTTACCACAAAGGGCTGCGTAGATGCCGCAGTGTCTGAGCACGGTCCTCAGATGGTTTTTCTTCATTGTTGGGGGGTGGGCAGGAGCGGTGCCCAGAGGCCCCAGGGCCATTCCTGCCGGTCCCAGGCCAGGCTTCAGGGCGAGGCGCCCAGGAAGCGTGGCCACACTGGCCGTGGGGGCCCCGTGGACGGAACCCTGTGGACGGGACCGGGCCTGGCTGCCTCCCCGTGCTCCCTCGGTCTCGGCGACCCCCAGACTCTGCGTCTCACGGGCCTGTGCGCCGTGTCCCCGCAGGCCGCCAGCCTGTACAAGCTGGAGGAGGAGAACCACGAGGCGGCCACGTGCCAGGAGGATGCCGTGTACCGCGGGGACCTGCTGCTTGAGAAGATCCAGGGTGCGCTGGCCGACATCGCCCAGTCCCAGCTGAGGACGCGCAGCGGCGCCCACAACCCGCCCCTCGCCGAGTCCTAGTGCCCGGGGTGCCCGCGTGACAATATCCACCATCTGCTCCGTCCCAGTGTCTGGCGTCACTCTGGATGCAGAAGCCGGGGAGGCTGCGTGAGCGTCCCCGACTCTCGCCTCCTTTTCCTCACTGGATGGACTTCCTGAGACAGAGACTGTGCAGAGGGGCGTGACGCGATTAAAGGCGGCTGCTCCAGAGTCCTGCTCTGGCCACCTTCTCTTTACTTTGGTCCTGTTTCTGCAAGTTGTTCTGGTTTTTTTTTTCCCTTTTGGGTCTCACCTGGCGATGCTCAGAGGTTCCTCCTGACTCTGCACTCAGGAATTACTCCTGGCGGTGCCGGGGATTGAACCCGGGTTGGCCGCGTACAAGGCAAACACCCTCCCCGCTGTACTACGGCTGTGGCCCCTCCACAAGTCTTTCTTACCCGTCAACACGCTCCCCCAAAGCCAGAGGAGAGGGGTCCCTGCAGAGGTGCGGGCCCCTCCCAGTTCCCTCGGGGTCCCTCCTCTTTCAGGGGTGCTGGGCAATGTTCGGACACCCAGGGCCCCCACTGGCGATTTTCCCCAGGTGGGGCCGGTGGTGCTGCTGACCCCAGGACCACCCCGCGTGCTCGGGGTGGGGGGGTGTCTCCAGGCCTGCACCTAGCCGCACACCGGGGACGGAGCCGGGTGGGGCGTGTGCCGGGTGTGTCCTGCCCTGGGAAGACGGCGCTGTGCGCACAAGACAAGCTGGGGCAGCGGGTTTCCTGGAACCCTTTCTGCTTCGTGGAGCACGGTGGGCTGGGTGTGGAGCGTTGGTCAGATGCGTCCAAGGGGCCTGGTTTCCGTCTCTGGCTCCGGGAAGAAGAGAAAGTGGGTCGGTGGCGCCGTCTGAGCGCGCCCCACTCTGCTTCCGCAGAACGTCCATTGAGCCCCCCCAGTGTTCTTTCCCATGTCTGTTCCCACTAGCGTCCTGTTCTCCCTCGTGTGCCATCCTGAGAGTTTTTCTTCACCCTGACTCCTTCCCCGAGAGCACCCAGCTGGGCTCAGTATGTCTGTATGATGTGGGCATCGAACCCGGGGCCTCGTGCCCACCCACCCCGGGGGCAGGCGATCTCCCCCTGAGCCTCACGCCTGCCTCCCCCATCTCTTACCTGCTCTTTTTCATCCTTGACTTGCACCTGCAGTGAGGGATGATTCCTGAGCCCGTTCCTTTGATTGTCTGGTTTTGTTAACTTCTCAGCTTTTACTTCCACAGAAGGACAGATGGGCTGGTACAGAGTCACCCTCCGCCAGCCCTGGTTCTAGAGGTGTGACGGGAAGTAATGCCTGCATCTCCCAGGTCCTTTCAGGTGTGTGTGTGTGGGGGGGGTAATGCCTGCACCTCCCAGGTCTTTACAGGTGTAGCACTGTCGCACTGTCCTCCCATTGTTCATCGATTTGCTTGAGTGGGCACCAGTAACGTCTTCATTGTGAGACTTGTTACTGTTTTTGGCATATTGAATATATGTGCCATGCGGGCGGGATACTCTCAGTAGCTTGCCAGGCTCTCCAAGGGGGGGCGGAGGAATCGAACCTGGGTTGGCTGCGTGCAAGGCAAACGCCTTACCAGCCCCGTTTGTGAAGGCCCAAGTCCAAGTCCTTACAGGTGTGATGGGGGATAATGCCTGCACCTCCCAGGTCCTTACAGGTGTGATGGGGGATAATGCCTGCTCCTCCCAGGTCCTTACAGGTGTGATGGGGGATAATGCCTGCTCCTCCCAGGTCCTTACAGGTGTGATGGGGGGAATGTCTGCATCTCCCAGGTCCTTAGAGCTGGCCTTGATCTTGGTCACAATATTGGTTTTTAGCTTCTGTTTGACCAAGGCAGATGGAAAGTTCCAGAGCTTCTACTTGTCTTTTTTCACACCCATAATTTCCACCACGGGTTGAAAATTATGGGTCATAGAGTACCACTAACGATGAAGTTTGGTGTCGGGAACTGGGGGCCCCTGGAGCACATATACCTGGGTTAGAAATGCTACTGTACACGGGATTTGATTTTATTTTTTGTGCAGATGCCCACCCCAGTTGAACCTGGGCAGGCAGCGTGGGAGCGAAGCCCTTAGCCCTGTACTAGCTCTCTGGCCCCATGAGTGTTGATCTTCAGTTGATGCCTGGGGATAGGAGCGTCCTGGAGACTGGAGCGTCCTGGAGACTGGAGCGTCCTGGGGATAGGAGCGTCCTGGGGGATAGGAGCATCTTGGGGGATAGGAGTGTCCTGGGGATAGGCACGTCCTGGGGGACAGGAGCGTCCTGGGGACTAGAGCATCCTGGGGAACCATGAAAGGCAAGAATGCCAGGGTCGGGAGGGAAGGTGCTTGACTGCCTTAGTCACCCTGAGTCAGAGCGCAGGCAGGAGGCACCGCCATCGCCTTTCCTGTGAAGTACTTGAAGGCAAAGGCTGGCTTTCACCTGCCGGCCCAAACAGGCCCCGAGTATTTGAGGACAGAACGTTTCCCCAGGGGCGCTTTGTCTCGCCTTTCTCTGGGGAGCCCCACGGTGTCTGGATTTCAGTGCCCTCGCTTAGAAATCAGATCTTCAGCCCGAGTGGCCGTCTGGGCCGGAAGTCTGAAGTCCTTGTCCCACTTCCCGGCTCTCTTCCTGCTCTCTCCGTCTGACTCTCGAGCGGCCTCCTCCTGCTCCTGACAAACATGCACAGAAAACACGGCCGCGCTCGGGCTGCTGGTACCGGGCCCGGGGACAGTAGGATCCCAGACAGGCCTACTGCCGAGCGGCAGCTACCGGTGGGCTTCTACTGAGTCACAGAAACGTCAGTTACTGTGTGAGACTCACACGTCTCCAGGGTACCAGAAGCTCCAAGTTTGAATTAACGGGGAATCATGTCTCGGAAAAGCAAAAGGTCATTGAGCCAGGAAGTTGGGTAAGCAGTGTTGCACATGGTGAGTGTCTGTGAGGCTCTGGGCTCTAGCACCACACGCGCACGCGCACACACACGCACACACATACACACACACAATAACAGCAAGGCTCTGGGCTCCAGCAACACAAAAACACACAGACACACACATAACAGCAAGGCTCTGGGATCCAGCACACACACACACACACACACACACACACACAATAACAGCAAGGCTCTGGGCTCCAGCAAAACAAAAACACAGACACACACACATAATAACAGCAAGGCTCTGGGATTCAGCACCACACACACACACACACACACACACACACACTCTCTAACATACACAATAATAGCAAGACTCTGTGCTCCAGCAACACATACACACACAGACTCACACACACAAAATTAGTAAGGCTCTGGGCTCTAGCACCACACGCACACTAACAGCAACACACACACACACAACAGCAATGCTCTGGGCTCCAGTAATACACACACTAACAACAATACATACACACAATAACAGCAAGACTCTGGGCTCCAGCAACACACATACACAATCAGCAAGGCTCTGGACTCCAGCAACACACACACACACACACACACAATAACCGCAAGGGACTATTAAAACATACAACGCAAAACAAGGAAGGGAAGAACAACTAAAGAAGCAAAGACATTTGGGACCAAGGAAAAGAGACGGAGGAAGATGGTTTCTATTTCCGCATCAGCTTAGAGTTGGATGTGGGCATCCTGGCCCACACGCAGAGACCCAGACCCCATCATGGCCCCGGAGGCAGGGGGATGAGGACAGGGTTTGGAGTGGACGCTGGGTGTTCTGAGGAGGGAAGGGAGAGCCGGTCGCAGCAGGAGGCTGGGCCCTGGTGGCCTCTGTCAAGCGGCTCAGCTGCTGGGCGCTGTCTGGTGGCCTCCAGGGTCCTGGCCCCTGGCAGCCTCCCAGGCTTGCTCTGCACATCCTAGGCCTGTCAGGCCCTGCCAGAGCCGCTATTTCTTCAGCGTGAGCAGACCCCAGGACCACGGTGGTTGGGGGAAAGCAGAGTCGCTCTGAGGTCGATAGGAATTGTCAGAGGATTCACAAACCACGCCCTGAATTGTCACTCAGCATCAATGTGCGTCCCCTGGGGTAGGGATGTCCGTGGACTTTATTACATCAGATGTGACCATCCCAGGGGACGGCGTGGTTGGGGCTTGGGAACTGCGCCTGGGGCCATCCTGCCCCGCATGCCAGCCACGCTGTGTCGTGTAGGCCGGGGTGAGCTCAGTCAATGCCCTTTGTGACAGATGCCAGGGGTCACTCTCTCGGCCGTGGTGTCACATGCCTGGTTGCGGCACCCCCATCACACTCAGTGACAAGAGCTGCGCTGGGGTCCGACTCACAGCCCAGGGACAGTCGGACACTGGGAACGAGGCCACTCGACTCCCTTCACACTTGCTTCTCACGCGTGTCATGTCTGGGATGAGTGCAGGGGGAGCGGCTGGCTCTGTGGAAGTCAGAGATGGGGACCCTCAGGATGGCAGGATGAGCTGGGCCCTGACAGCCTTGCTGGCGTGCCGCCACGCGTCTGGGTCAGTGATGGCAACGGGCTGGGCTCTGTCCTACAGTGCTCCCAGAAGCAGAAGAATCAGGCACGGTCAACAACCTCCTTGGCTGCCACGAATTAACTTTTAAGTTTATTTTCACTTAAGTGTCGTGTGTGGGCTGTAGCGATAGCACAGCGGGTAGGGCGTTTGCCTTGCACACAGCCAACATGGCTGACCCGAGTTCGATTCCTCCACCCCTCTTGGAGAGCCCTGCAAACTACTGCAAGTATCTCACCCGCATGACAAAGCCTGGCAAGCTGCCCATGACGTATTCGATATGCCACACACAGTAACAAGTCTCACAATGTTACCGGTGCCTGCTCGAGCAAATCGATGAACAACGGGAGGACAGTGACAGTGAAGTGTCGTGTGTGTGTGTGTGTGTGTGTGTGTGTGTGTGTGTGTGTGTTTGGGCCACACCCAGCGGTGCTCAGGGCTTACCCCTGGCTCTGCCCTCAGGAATCCCGCCTGGCAGGGTTCAGGGTACGGATGTTGGGGATAGAACCTGGGTTGGCACCAGGCACGGCAAACGCCTTCCTTCTTAAATGGGCAGACATTCCCATGGTTCCAAATTCAAACCCTACAAAGTATCATGGGGGAAGTCTGTGTTTTTTTTTTTCCTTTTTTTCCATTCCCTGGAGTCAGCCAGAGTTAACAAATGTCTGGTGTTCCTTTCAGACCTG